TGAACAACTCATCCATTACTTATCAGCTATTTTGTTGATAATAGCTGATGAATCTTTTCTAAAGTGGATCTGTTTATAGTATTTGAAATCTTCACCCTGGAAGTAACTTTCTCAATTGTTCTTTAGTCCTAATTTCCTCTGTTCTTCAAAACCACTTGCTGTACTTTCAACTTCAATTTTCTTTATCCTTCTAATTTTGTATTACATTTTTGTATACATTAAGTATAGTTTCACTTTGGTTTTTTATATTTACTTGTAAATAACTACTTTAAAAATCTTCAGTATCATTTGAATTTCATAATTTCAAATGTGCATTGTACAAAATTACCACAAAATATATACCTCAACTTAATCTTTTATATATTTCAAAGTTTAATTTTTCCTTTTTTATTTTTTCATTTCTGATGGGCTACTTTGTAAATTGCAAAAGAATAACAATAGGATAATTTTGTTAAATTACAAATTTAAGTTATGAATCTTCGTTATTGTGTTGTATTCGGCCGACAACACTATCACTTAGACTCAAACTTAATTTAGCTTAATAAATAGTAAATAAGTTCAAGTTTATCTGATTTTTGGGCTTTATAAATTGTTATTCATTTAGGGTTGTTGATTCTTTGTTTTATAAATTATTTACTCTAGGTTTTGAATTTGTAATTACACCACACTTTTTTATATGTAGTTTTCTTTGTTTTAATAGCATATCAAGATGAGTTTTGAATCTATGTGACTGTGTACAGTGATCACTACACACTCCCATAGGTTCCAAACCAATATCTAGACAAGGTGGTTATTTAGATGTAAAAATGTTTTCTGCAATACACTGTAGTTCATTCAGAATATTATGTTTTTTAGTTGTCAAATGTGTGTCCTCTTGGTGTGTAGACTGAACAATCATTGTAACCCATATTATTTACTGATGCCTGAAGCTGATTTTTTTTTCATTGTTTAATAAAGTTTCACTCAAAAAATTTCTGTTTTATAACTTACAAATTGAAAGGATGATTGTAATGGTTGAATATCTGATACATATGCTGACACTCTGCCACATAAAACCTGTGAGCTCACAAGGGTATCTCTATATCTGTGATGCTGTTTATATTTCATGAAAAATTAGAACTTATTTTTAGCTGAGATGTAAACATTTAAATATTGCTATAAACTGCAATAACTATCCCATAAATATGGCCACTTGTTAGAAGAAATATTAGCTTAGAGGTAAAAGATAATCTGTTACTCATCATGCAGGGTTGTGTCATGAAAAGATAATCTGTTACTCATCATATTAAGTTGTCATGCAGGAAAAGATGATTGTGACTTCATTAATTACATAAAGGGTTGTGTCATGCACTATGCTCATCCACCTTAGTTTTCCCAACAAGTCAGAACTGGGGAAGGAGATGAGTGGAAGATGCTGTACACTTTCATTATCAATTTACCTTTAAAATCAACAGCAAAGTGTACTGAGTCACTAGTATCTGGTTATTTGAGATCAGTGTAATTTTTTTGCTCTAAACTATGTTATTCATTAAGGTTTCTTGAAGTCATCTAAAACATTCAGCAATAAAAATCTTTGGCAGCAGAAAATAAAACAGGCTGTCATCTAATGAAATGAAGATAATAAAATGTGCATGAAGTAGCCAAGATGATAATATTTTTTACTTTTAAATTACAAAATATTTAACAGCATTTAATAATGCAGTAGTTGAAAACAAAATAGATAATTATTCAAAATTTGGAGACATGTTTGACAATACTTTTCTTTCTAGCTCAAATGTATACTGAGGAATAAAACTCAACAAAATTCAACAAATTAATATTTCATAACTGAATTTTATTTAAAAATCCATATTTTCTGTACAATGTAATTAAGGGGAAAAAGTTAAAATATTATCAACCAGAAACAAGTATTTATTATTGCCAGGTAATCTACCTGCATAGACAAATACTGCAAAAAAAAAATCTTTAAAAACAACCAACTTAAATTTAAAATCTATTGCCTGTAAAAAAAATAGTTTGCTAACTAGTATTGCTGTAAGGATCAGTTAGTTCAGCTAGAATTAGTTCAGGAATATTTGGAATTGAGTCAGGCTAGTTGTAATAGCACAATCATACTTGAATCTTACCAGTTCTTACTTACAATCATATTAAGTACTAAAATATCCCAAAAACCATATTTTCTATTAACCAAACACATATTTAATGATATATTTTTCAACTACTTGCAGGGTAAACATTGTCATTCACTTTGGAATATTCCAAATTGGATTCCAGCTTGAAAAATTAAAAAAAGTATTAGTAGCAGAGAAGTTCAGATTATTGGGCACTTAAGCATTTTATTTAAGAGTTGTCTTCTTGTGAAGTTGCTAAAGAACTGTGACTAATCTCAGTGAGGAAAATGGAAGGGTATTACCTGTTGTCCATTCCAAGTTAGTAAAGTCCTTATTAAATAACTTATTGGTCAACTTGTTAAATAACTTGTGTGGTCAACTTGTTTCAGTTTAAATATCTTGTGTGGTCAACTTGTTTCAGTTTAAATAACTTGTGTGGTCAACTTGTTTCAGTTTAAATATCTTGTGGGTCAACTTGTTTCAGTTTAAATAGCTTGTGTGGTCAACTTGTTTCAGTTTAAATAGCTTGTGGGGTTAACTTGTTTCAGTTTAAATAACTTGTGTGGTCAACTTGTTTCAGTTTAAATAACTTGTGTGGTCAACTTGTTTCAGTTTAAATAACTTGTGTGGTCAACTTGTTTCAGTTTAAATAGCTTGTGGGGTTAACTTGTTTCAGTTTAAATAGCTTTTGGGGTCAACTTGTTTCAGTTTAAATAACTTGTGTGGTTAACTTGTTAAATAACTTGTGTGGTCAACTTGTTAAATAACTTGTGTGGTCAACTTGTTAAATAACTTGTGTGGTCAACTTGTTAAATAACTTGTGTGGTCAACTTGTTAAATAACTTGAGTGGTCAACTTGTTAAATAACTTGTGTGGTCAACTTGTTTCAGTTCAAATATCTTGTGTGGTCAACTTGTTTCAGTTAAAATAGCTTGTGGTCAACTTGTTTCAGTTGTGTATTTGTTTCAATAGTCAAGCTCAATGGTTAGCTTGTTCAAATAGTAATTACTGCAGTTATCATAAGATAATTATTGCAGTTATCATAAGATAATTATTGCAGTTATCATAAGATATTTATTGCAGTTATCATAAGATATTCACAGTACCCAATAACTACACTGCTCATTATATTTTGTAAGCTGCCTCAGCAGGGAACAAATACCTTTTTCAAATTTCAGTGGTACCTTACTGTTAGTGGTACCAGTACTTATACAGTAAAACCATTACTTGGCAGTAAGCATCTTTTTATTTGGTTTACCCATTTCATGAAGTTAACTTGACAATAAACATCTTTTTATTTGGTTTACCCATTTCATGAAGTTAACTTGACAATAAGCATCTTTGTATTTCGTTTACCCATTTCATGAAGTTAACTTGACAATAAGCATCTTTGTATTTCATTTACCCATTTCATGAAGTTAACTTGACAATAGCATACCTGGCATTGTTGAACATTTGATCCTTCACTGGTCAGTTAGGAACTAATGTATCGATTATTACACATACACACCTAAATAAATTAGCATATCAATTAAAACGGATATATTACCATGAAAATCTTCTTCGTTTGTAAGTTTTAGTGTTGGAATGGATCCCGCTCCAACACAATACAATTAAGGATACGTGTGATCTAGTTATGCACCATTGACTCCGATTTCAGCCTGCTTTTCTTTTTGGATTTGCTTCCATAGCCTTTGTCCAACCAAGAACGAACTACAAGGCAGCAGTTGTTTGATTTTAGAGTTGTCTCTCCTAGAAGAGTGGCTGTCCCCAGTTTACGAGCCTCATCTGCCCGAGGGTTCGAACTCGAGACTTTTCGGTTTAGCAACCACCATGAAAATGATATTGCCTAAGTTAAAGTACATGCAAGCGAGCTAGTGTTTAACCACCATTGCTTTTGTTCACTGGATGGGATTTGACCACAAGGGCTTTGTTCATACGTGGTCAAGATGTAGATCTAGTTTTTAAAATAATAATTAACGGTTATTGACAGTTTAAATCAGGGGTACTTTTCAGTCCGAGGGCCGCATTAACTATCAAATTTTAGTTTGGGGGCCAGTTTCTTCCAGGCATGTCTTTGATTTTTCTAGGCAAAGTTCCTCAGCCATCATCAACAAACGTTTTTTCCGTGGACAAAAAGATCTCCGCGGGCCGGATGAGAGGACATCGCGGGCCGCATCCGGCCCGCGGCCCGTAGTTTGGAGATCCCTGGTTTAAATCATGGTTTTGGAGATTTAGAGTGTCATTCTATAATAAAGTACACAGTGCATATAAAACTATAAAAAAAAAAATTTTAATGTGTGTGATCTCCCCTTTACTTTCTTTTTTATTCTTTTATGACAAGTAATGTGTTTAAACTTGTGACATGCACTCTATACATATCTAAAGGGAAAACAAAGGCAACAAGTGCTAATAGTATATGAAAACATTTTTCCCTAAGGAACATATGTAGGCCTACTTACTAGCTGCCAGTTTTTTTCTCTAGACATGTACAGTATACATGTTGCTAATGTAAACAGGGAGAATGGTAATTTCAGTTCAAACATAGAAGTTTATGAGAAAAAAACAATAAGAAGTGAAAATTTCTAGAGAATGCTGTATGAGAATATGATATAAAATTATTAAATTCTGAAGGTTCTCTAAAAATTAGAAATGATGCGAAATTCCCCATTATATAGTACTAGATTTACGCTCTAGTATACATACTTTTGCCCGAAAATAGAATTTTCATATTAAAATAATCTATTTTAAGATCTCATAACAAAAGCACTAGGACAATAGAATATAGATCAAGTGTGAGGGCTATGATCTAGGTTAGGGTTAGGTCTAGGGTGGCAGTACAATAGTAATGTTAGGTGAGAAAAACAAGTTGAAAAAGTACTTTTAATATTGAAATTTGTTTTAATTCAGGAGACATTGACAATAAAGTTAAAGCAAAAAAAAAAAATTATGTAGATCTTATGCCCTAGAAAAAAAAATGAAATAAAGATGCACATTACTTAGAATAATACACGATTTTATTCAACATCCAATTTAAAAAAAAAAAAATACTTAATCAAAACAACATACTGACGTAAATGAAATGGGTATAAAATGATTATTATGATTATGTAATCGGTCAGATCAGATTTAGAACACTGATTAAATGCCACCATTCCTCATCATTAGTGCTTGTTCAAGTTCCATTCTTCTTTGTTGGACCTGGAGAAATAAGTTTTATGAACATTTATGAAGAGAATATAAAAATAACATTGGATTCTTTCATTCTAGAAATTTGGAATGGATATAAAATTATCTTTATTTAAAGACAATACCATTTAAAAAAAAACAATCTCTATTTAAATTTTTAAAAATATATGCATTTAAATAATAACCTGATGGCACTTAAAAATAACTTCAATATTGATACAAAAATGTTTCTGAAGATAATATAAATTTAAAAAAAAAAGCAGCTTTTATCAATATTTTTTAAAAAATATTTGAAGACAGAAACACTTTAAAAAATTACTGATTTCACTATAGAAAAAATATATCCCAAGATCTTACCAGAGAGTAAAAGTATCTGTTGACACCTTCATTAGTCCACGGCTCATAGAAATACTCAGCACGTCTTTCTTCTTCAGGGTTTCCTACCACATCTGTCATAGTCTGAAAACAAACACCACAATCATTGCCAACATTTTCATATGGTCAATGGGCCTTTCTCCAAAGGGAGACATGAAATAGTAGATGTTACAACAATCTAGCTGATCCAATGGGGCATTGTCCAAAAGGAGACATGAAAAAATGCCATGACAATCTAGCTGACCAATGATGAATTGTACCCCCTTTTCTTACCAAAAATTTTTCACTTAGATAATTGAAAACTTTTCAACACTTAACACTTACACCAAATGTAAGAGAGAAAATTATATTCAAGCTTACCTTGAGATCTCTTGTCTGTGAAATCAAGAAATTACTAATGAACTCCTGTGGATCTTTGGCGAACCCCAGAAAAAATTCACGCTGTGTCTTTAACATGTTGATATTTTCAACTGTTTCATGAATCTGTAAACACAAAACATTTTATTGAATCATGAGGAAAGTTTCATCCAATAATTAATCAAAAGCTAGGGGTTTGCAGCTAATATTGGAAAATATCTTTGTTACTAGCTTGTATGTGATCTTTTCAGTACAATATATGATTATTCTTTACAGAATATTTTTTATGTAGAATCATGTTTGTTATTGAAATATGAAATCACTTAAAATTTTGACGATTTCATTACCAGTACTTCAAAACATATTTAAACATTTTTACTTTTCAGGCAATCAGCATTATGGCACATGCTATTTGGGTAAACAAGCAGTTATTGGCATTTAGGCCTCTGTGTGGCAATTTAGGCATATGTCTGGCAATATTTAAATATGGTTGCTGGGATGGAGTGGCCTAGCAGTAGAGAGCTGGACTGCTAACCCACAAGTCTCGAGTTCAAATCCGGGTTCAAGTCAGTAGACTGTCCCTGAGTCCACCTTGCTCTGATGGATACCTAACTCATGTTAGGGTAAGTAAAGGCGGCTGGGCATAGTGCTGACCACACTGTCTCTTCATATGCCAAGGTCACAGAAACAAGTGAACTCTACTTCACTTGCCCCATAGACCGTCAGGTTTGAAAGGGAACTTTACTTACTGATAAAGATGATGTATGATATTTTTAAAAGCTTAAAAAGAGTTTATTGAATATTAGGTAAGCTTAAAAACTACAATAAAACAACATAATGTTTAGTATCGTGAAAAAATTCTGAATTTAACTACCGAAAGACACAACCTACTTTGGCATCAAGGTTAGCTATTTCTGTGTGGTTCTGAGTGGACATCACAAAAGCGTTCATCTGCTGTTTTAAAGTGTCATCCTGTAAAGACACAAGAGAGGTGATTTTTTTTTTTTACCTAATCAAGTTACATAAATTTTATTTTAAAAAACTTCTAATAACTTTACAAGAACCTCATTCTTTGTAGACATAATGAAATAATTTAAATAAAACCCTGGTGACAGTACCAAATAATCTACTATGTACTTACAATATCAACATCAATATCATAGCAAGCTGTTTTCTTGGCATCAGGACCTTCAACTCTATTGACAGAAAACAAAGTGTTCATAAAATTGGGATAGCAAATGAAGGTTGGATTCAGACAAAAATATTGTTTTCTTTATCCTGAGCTGGTATTGCTTATTTTAACCTTAAATTGTTATCCACTCAACTTTAAAAGGTATATTTAGCTTTTAAAAAGTTAATTTTCCTCTAAAATGTTGCTTTTTGTTTAATGAATGCCACTTTTATTTAAATGTTGGATAATGACAAACCAAAACTCACGTAACAACATGGTGGATGATGATAGGATCTGGGGGCATTAATAACGGCTGAAGTTTGGATGGGATATCAGAGAACTTTAAGCGCTTGCATTCAAATATCTGCAACAACAAAAGCCATAATAAGACACGGGATTGCTTCAATTAAAGAAAATCATATCATCATTAAACTACTCTTAAAGTTACAATAATTTTTCATTATCTTTAATGATCAAAGTAGAGCAATTTTTAAAAATATCTTAATAAATAACTTTCTTAAAGATTAAACCATTGCTTACTTGTTCAAAATATTTGTCACAGTTGATGTATTCTTAAAGTTACAATAATTTTTCATTATCTTTAATGATCAAAGTAGAGCATTTTTAAAAATATCTTAATAAATATCCTTTGTTAAAGATTAATCACTGCTTACTTGTTCAAAATATTTGTCACAGTTGATGTATTGTTAAAGATTAACCATTGCTTACTTGTTCAAAATATTTGTCACAGTTGATGTATTCTCTCTCACTGGAGTCCTGCAGCTTGTGTGTCTTGATGTACTGCCAGAGGGCATTGACAATAAAAGGACGAGTCTGTGTGTGGATGCCCAGCAACCTGGCCAGACGGTGGTCCAGCTTGAACTGCATTGGCTAAACAGATTTAAATATAGCCCATGTACATTAGAAACTTGACAGAAATAAGGAAATGATGATTTAAAGCTAGGATCTTGGTTATCAATTTCAAACATGATAAAATACTTTAAGTATTTTAGAAATTGTAACCAAGAATATCAAAGACTGGGAAATATGGGATGACATGGTCAAGTGGTAACTCTTAGATCCTAAGTCTCGTCTAAAGATTTATCCATCCAGCTCTGATTTTTTCCTAACTTAACTCTTTAAGCACACAATACATTCAAATGGTGCAATAAAAAAAACCCAGACCAACTCTACTTCATCGGATCTAAAAGGGTGCTTTACTAAGAAAATATTCACATCTGTCAATAAACATTGTACCTGATAGTCCATCTGTCAATAAACATTGTACCTGATAGTCCATCTGTCAATAAACATTGTACCTGATAGTCCATCTGTCAATAAACATTGTACCTGATAGTCCATCTGTCAATAAACATTGTACCTGATAGTCCATCTGTCAATAAACATTGTACCTGATAGTCCAGCATCAGTAGAACTTTGCACTTGACGTTCTGGTCACCAGGTCTCTTCACCTGAAAGCCATCAGTCTCCTGTGTGCTGGGGGTGCGGTGCCACTGTAACATGAACAGACAGGTTTTAAACAGTGGTTCTTTAATGGGTGGGTTTAATGGGTGGGATACCACAGCAAACATACAAGATGGTTTGAAAAGTGGTTCTGTAATGGGTGGGATACTACAGTAAACATACAAGATGGTTTAAAAAGTGATTCTTTAATGGGTGGGATACTACAGCAAACATACAAGATTGTTTTAAAAAGTGGTTCTATACAAGGGGTGGGAAACTACAGTATATACACAAGAATGTTTTTAAAAGTGGTTCTTTACAAGGGGCGGGATACTACAAAAGGTTTCAACAAATATGGTATTAAACTAGCGCTTCAGGAAAGGAATGTTTTCAAGACTATTTTCAATTAACAGTTTAGCTATTTAGATTAAAAACAGCTGTATTTTTATTAAATAGCAATAACATCTCTAGACGAATCTAGTGAATGTTTATTGGTGAATCAAGTCAAAAGTAAAAAAAGTGTTTTGATGAATGCTAGAAGCAGGCACAGAGTATACTGAGTTACAGCTCAGAATCATTTACAAGATAGCTGTCACCAGACAGGTAGTTCAGAAACAAATTAGATAAGTGCAGTCTGTCTAGTCATGAATGGAAGACCAGACCTACCTCTACCAAGTGATTGTCCAGTCCATACAGCTCTTTATCCAACTCGATGACCAGAGATTTAAAGAAGGAGGAAAACTTCCTCTTCACTTTGTTGCTGTCACACAGCCTAGCCGAGGCAGCCTGACCACAGGAGAAAACAATAACATAGAAAATGTTTTATTGGTCATTTTAAAAATGAGCTGTAAAGAATACCAATAATTCCTGATTTGCATTAGGTATCTAAAAAAATAAAAAAAAATAATGAAATCTAATTTAATTTAAATTATCTGGCATCAAAATAATAGTAAAATGAATGTGATAAAAATGATCTTCTTACATCCTCCAGTAGTCGACCTTCAACCCTAAGTTCCCATGATGGCACAGACTCCTCACCATCCTATAAAAAATATATTAGTATTTTTATATTTTAACTTGTTTAAAAGATAAATGTAACTTTTTAAGTCAAAGAAATGTTTATTCCATTTAGATTTTTTCTACTGGCAAACTCAGTGCAAAAAAAAAAAAAGGTATTTATTTGGATTGTTTTACATTATTTTTTAGTATTGTATAATCAATTAAAGTAAAGCATTTTTAAAAAAACTGACCTCAACTTCTTTAGGAGGAAAGAAAGTATTAGAAATAAATATCCTTAGCTTGCGCTTTTGCTGGAACAGAACATTTTTCAGATTGCAAGGTATACATTATAACAAAGAAATGCATGTATTATACAATAAATATTAGAAAGTTCTATCTTGTACAAAATTTGTATATAACTATGAAACAAATGTATATTAAATGTTAACTTTTGTTAAAAGAAACTGATTACACTTGTTTTGGGTATGAATGAAGTCATTTCTTTTTTTCAGCTACTTACTTTCATTGGCCTTTTGAGAACTTCTTGTATATCAAGTCTCTTACGCATGATGGTTGCGTCAAGTTTCCTCTCAAACGCCAGCAAATCCATGTATGCTTGAGATTCTGGTACCAAATCCCTCACCTATAATGACATAACGACTGAGCAAAAAGTTCTCTACTACCAGCCAACACTTAATAAAAACATCTGGCTATTCTTCACAGGTACAGTCTTAATTACAAAAGGTACTCACTCTCTGGGGCAAAATTTTATCTGCAATTTTCTTCTTTCTTTTTCTGAAAAAAAAAAACCAATGTTAAAATAGCATTAACCAGTAAGGCATGAACAGATGAAATTTTCTTTAACCTCAACTAATTGGTGTCATATTAAATAATTTTGGTCTATAAAAGAAATATAACTAACGCTTTGATCTGATGAGGTGTACGGATTTCTTGAGAGGGAGGGCGTTTTCTGTCCATGCTCACACCAGGGGGTGGTGGGGGCATTCCGGCTCTGGGCATGCCTGCTAATAACAGAATAATAGCCAAGAATTAAGATGCTGACATATTCATTCATATTGGGAACTACTAGTAAGCCAGAACTATACTTTATAATTCTTTAAGAATTTGATGGAAGGCTGATTCATTTTAATAATAAAAAATTACAATTTCAAAATATACAAAAAGAGAATAAAGAAAACTACATACAAAAATTTTAAAGAATTTTTAAAACAAATTACAAATTTTTAGAGGGTATTTAGTCTGAAATAAAGAGCAAAAAACACACAAAAACAAGGCAGACAATAGTATAATTTTTAAAAACACAAAACAAAAAAAAACAACTGAAAAAACTCATTATAAATATTTTAACAGTTCATCAACTAAACATTCGTAAAAGAAACTATACTTTCTTTTTACTATATATATGTGGCCTTTCTTCACAACTGAAATCAAAAGATTGTTGAATACACATTATCTCTCATGAAAATACATTTTAGAGACACTGGAAAGTTATTTGACATAAATTTTCTCCTAAAATAAATGTGAATTATAGCATTACAAAACTCTTTATAACAAAAACAAAATTTAAAAAAAAGGACATTACAAAAAAAATTTTATTCTTAAAAATAAAATGGATGGATCTATCTACGCCTTTTTATTTACTTTAACTGCTACAGATGGACAGAAAGTAGAATTATGGTTTAGATTTTACAATTTACACAAAGTAACTTGCACATTTTTTATATTTATTTTTATAACTATAAGCCTAAGGCTTAATTTTGCTGACAGTTTTCTGTTTCGTCAAAAATTCACTTTACATAAAAACAATTGAGTCCTCTTGCAAAACCTGCTTAAGTCACTTCTGATTCATTTTGAGGAAATTGGTTTTTTATATTTTAATATTACATTTTTTTTAAAGTATACTTGATAGAACAAAAATTAGTTTACTACTTTAATTGCCTCTCAAGTAATTCAAGGCTGTAAGAATAATTCTTTTTCTTTTTCGAAAAATTGACTTAGCAGGTTTTGCAGGAGAACTTTCATTCATTTTCTAAAGTAGCTTTGTTATAAATAAACATGATTTTCAAAGTTAGAATGGGTAACATTTTTCTCAACATTTAAAAAAAAATGTATACAAAATATAAACTTAGATGACAAAAGTTACAAATGATTTAACATGACATACAAGTAAAACAAGTTGTTCAAACAGGCTTTAGAAAACTGACTGGAGTTTAACTAAAAAATATCTACTGATCTCATGCAGTACACTTACTGCTGATATCTTTGGTTTTGGTCACAGTGTTGCCTGGGAAGGAGAAACCAACCTTATTAGCATGGTCAACTTACACAGCTAAACTCATGGCTACCTCCACAGCACTAAGTTATTCTTAGATGTGCACTTCTAAATATTTCAATTAATCACAATTTTCTTTTTTTTTAAATGTATACCAGAAGTTGTTGAGAATTAATTTAACTTTATATTTTAATTATGTAACAAATAAAAAATTAAATTAGTAGCACTATACTAAGGTGTTAAATAATATATAAATTATGTCTCATCATGCCATTAAAAACCCAAACAAACATACAAAGTAAAATGTGTACCAGTTATGGACAAAAAACACTATACAGCTCAACCAATGATCAAACCAATTTATACATTACAGCTCTGAGAAATACAGCCTAAATTTGGTGTATGAATAGACATTCAGACTAGGGGTACATAAGATTAGTGGGAGCTATTAACCTGAGTTGTTTTGATTAGTGGTTAAAAAAGTCTAAATTTGGTGTATGAATAGACATTAACACTAGGGGTACATCAGATTAGTGGGAGCTATGAACCTGAGTTGTTTTGATTAAGGGTTAAACATGGAGAATGTATGTACTTTATGTAGCCACTATGATTAGGGTCTATGGCTTCTTTTTGAGCTAGTGTATCAGCCAACAACAAACTGATTAAGTGAGCATCATTCACTACATGTGTCATGCCTATTTCTGTGTGGTACAACAAGGTACTCTCCACTGACACAGGGCTGCAGGACTCGCAATATTTACAAACACATTTGTACCTGCCAACACTAAGAAAGGAGCACCAGCTCAACAACACCAACAAAAACTACAACAATGACCTCCACTGTTAATGGCATGCAGCTGTGTCACACAAGACTTGGTTGGATCAATGGCACTAGCTAAACTACATGCTCAATGTATCTTAGTTACAAATATTAACTAGCCCAAAAAAAGTATAAGAATATCATCTGATAAATTAACATAATTATCTAGCTTGGTAGCTTGATACCATAATATATATATATCATTTCCCCAGTATGTAACATGTACAAGAAAACATATACCTAAAAAAACTACAGAAGTGAATTAAAACATAACATGCAATGACAATATTTTGCAGAGACTAGAATTCAGTTAATAAAATCATCAAATGATTTAAAGAAACATTCTATACGGTTAGGACAAGTTAGAGCAGGTATGTGTGTAAACATATCTATATATGTGGGCCTATTTGTATGTTAACTTTTCTATTTGAGCCTATGTGTATGTGTGTGGGTCTATACATGTAGACTTTTCTATGCGTACATATCCTTTTCTTTAACACAAGTTGTGGGATGTTAGCTGAGTCTTTGAGCTAATTTATTTATTTAATAAACAAAGACTAATAATTTTTATTTTAAACATACATTTATGTATATTCTCAAGAAATGTTTAATAATTATTTTCTATTATTTTTTAATATATTTTGTAATTCTATTTAAAAGGAAATAGCTGAAAATGATGACTTTTATATAGAATATTGAGAAAATATTTCTCAAAATCTAAACTCATGATGTAGAACCAACTATTATCCAGCTAAATTTTCAGGAAATATGCTAGAGTAATCATATACAGTTTTTCATAAATTAGTACAACTTTATTTTTGTAAACATAAATAAGATAAACGCCTGTTATATATATATATAATGGAAATTTTTAAAAAATTTCACCGATTCTTTTGATGCATAAAATAGAAAATTCAGTCTCAAATGTTTGTTTTGACTGCATGAAATGACCATTAGAATGGTAAGAGTTTAGTCATGAGCCAACTACGTTATGTACAATTACAATCAGCATGCTGTTGCAACATCTAATGACATGCTGGGTTTTTGTCTGCCTACAATATCAACTACTCACAGCTGGCATCTTTGGTTTTGACTGGTGTACCTAGAGACCAATCACCAGAGGGGGGAACCAAAATACAAGGAGACATTTTAATACAAGTTGTTTTTAAGTTTTTTTTAACTCATGCAAAAATGTTGTTAAGTACACATCATAAAGGTAAAGACTTGTTAAAAAAAAGGCTGTGTAAAATATGGAATAAATGTCTAAACAAAATAATTTCTATGTATATTAAATACAAAGTATATATGTATAAAATAAAAATAAAACAATCTTTATAAATTATTCTAAAATGTATGATTTAGTGGTCACCCAAAAGTTAAAAACACACTAAGTCTACTAAATGTTTAAAAGGAAATAATATTGCTTGCATACAGCTTTCAAATAAGTCTACTTTACCTTTGATTTTGTTTTCTTTCTTAGGAGTTTTTGCAACACTTAAATTCATTTTCAGAAATGTAATAAAACTCTTATTATTTATTTGATATTATCTCAATCTAATTAATAAGGGTTAATTGAACTGTTTTTAAAATGATTGCTTATGTTCCAACTAATGTAATTCACAGTATACTACTGAGTCCAATGCAGATTAACTCAGCTTCATAAATAAACAGCAAAAATTACTCTAAATGTTTCATATAAAATTATTTTATTTTAATTCAAAAATTTAAATAGCTAGTCCATAGAGTCACTATAAAATAGAAATATAGCAAGCTTTAGTTCAATGGTGTACACAATAACACAAGTTTTAGTAAATGAATATCCAAGTAAGAATCACAGACTTGTATACTCCGCCCAGCACGCTGAAAGTTTCACATAAAAAAAAAACCCTCACAGTTTCTGACCAAGCAATCATCTGTAGGAAGCCTATTCAATAAAGACCACTTGAAACTGAGTTATTCAATAAGAGCAGCTGAGGGTCAGGAGAATGCCAGGGAGGAGAGTGAGAGAAGGAGAGTGTGTGTGTGTGTGTGTGATGGGGCACCATGAGCAGGGAGCACATGGACCATTATTTGCTCAGTCAACAAAGCCTTGAGTCAATAAGTGAGGACTCTGCTGCTGCTCATGTCTGGGCTATTCTACTAGAAACTAATGTCTTGGTCAGAAACTTTGGCCTTTTTAAAAGATATTTTTTTAAATCATTTTTTATACATATATTTTTTAATATATAAATCATATAATTAAAATATGTAGTTTTAAAACTGTCATTATATGTATTAATGTAATCCTTTTTTTATCATGAATAGCAAGCACATTTTTTAGAAGAGAACCAAGTAGCCTACAGTTTTAAAAGAGGCAGTATAAAAAATGGGTCAATATGAGGCAGAGGGATAAAGATTGAGATGGACAAGCCAGGTCAATATAATATGCCTAGATAAAAAGAGGAGCCAGTAGAAAGTGCTGAATAAGGGTTCAATATTTGGTGAGTGAGAGAGGGAGAAAATCAAGGAGGGATAAAGTTCCATCATGGGCTAATGGTGAGGTTAAAAATAGACAATCACAGTGCATCTTGGGGCCCACTCAAACTGGGGGATATTTTTTGGAGAAAAAAAGGGATGTTGTGTAGCAGGGCTAGAAAAATAGATCTGAATTTTTTTCTCGCAGAATTTTTTTGAATAGTGAGAGGAAATTTCAGAGAGAGTGAGAAGAATTTCTAGATATAATAAGATTAAGAAGCCTCAGAGTCAGAGATTTAAGGCACATTTTTACTAAATATTTTGAACAAATTTAAACAACAGTTAATTTTTTTAAAATGTATACAAGAAACATGTTTTTTTAAAAGTTAATATGCTTAAGTTTTATTTCTGTATTTTTAAAACAAGAAGTTTTAAAATACCTTAATTCTAAATAGTAGGTTCAGATACTGGACAGACACATGGACATTTTTAAAGCTTCTAGATCCAGCAGCATTTATTGCATGAATATTTTAGGTGATGATGCATAAAATTGATAGTCCAAACTGAGTTCAAACCTAAAACCTTCTGGTCCTCACCAAATTAAAATTTAACATGGGTATGTTCAGAACTTATCAAATTTCTTAATTGCCATTTTTTAAACCTCGTTATAAATTAATCTATTTATCAAAAAGAACTGATCTAGTCTATGCAACTATTTATCAAAGAAAACTGATCTTGTCTATACAACTATTTATCAAAGAAAACTGATCTTGTCTATACAACTATTTATCAAAGAACTGATCTGGTCTATACAACTATTTATCAAAGAAAATTGATCTTGTCTATACAACTATTTATCAAAGAAAACTGATCTTGTCTATACAACTATTTATCAAAGAAAACTGATCTGGTCTATACAACTATTTATCAAAGAACTGATCTGGTCTATACAACTATTTATTAAAGAAAACTGATCTTGTCTATACAACTATTTATCAAAGAACTGATCTTGTCTATACAACTATTTATCAAAGAAAACTGATCTTGTCTATACAACTATTTATCAAAGAACTGATCTGGTCTATACAACTATTTATCAAAGAGAACTGATCTGGTCTATACAACTATTTATCAAAGAAAATTGATCTTGTCTATACAACTATTTATCAAAGAAAACTGATCTGGTCTATACAACTATTTATCAAAGAAAACTGATCTTGTCTATACAACTATTTATCAAAGAAAACTGATCTGGTCTATACAACTATTTATCAAAAAAAAACTGATCTGGTCTATACAAATATTTATCAAAGAACTGATCTGGTCTATACAACTATTTATTAAAGAACTGATCTGGTCTATACAACTATTTATCAAAGAAAACTGATCTGGTCTATACAACTATTTATCAAAGAGAACTGATCTGGTCTATACAACTATTTATCAAAGAACTGATCTGGTCTATACAACTATTTATTAAAGAACTGATCTGGTCTATACAACTATTTATTAAAGAAAACTGATCTTGTCTATACAACAATTTATCAAAGAACTGATCTGGTCTATACAACTATTCATTAAAGAACTGATCTTGTCTATACTATTATTTATTAAAGAAAACTGATCTTGTCTATACTACTATTTATTAAAGAAAACTGATCTTGTCTATACACTATTTATCAAAGAACCGATCTGGTCTATACAACTATTTTACCAAAGAAAACTGACCAAAGTGCTAATCTTGTCTATACAACTAATTACCAAACAGCTGATATTGTCTATAAAAACCACTATCAGCTGTCTTTTTACAACAAGACCACAGGGAAAATACAACTTTCTGTAAGAACAATCCCATTTTATTTCACATTTAAAAAGTCAAAATATGGCCAGCAATTTAAAACATGATTGTTGTGTAATTTATCCAACAAAATTTTCATATCATATTTGTTTATTTTTTTACATAGTGCTGAGGCAAATTTTTTGAGCTGACTGCATATGAGGGGAACAGATACCTACAACGAAAGGGGAAGCTACTGAATTATTTATTTTTATTTATGATTTCACACAACACTGGTGTCCCTTGCATCATAAAAATTTGTTTTTCCAAAAAAAATTACTTTAAAGTAAATTCTCAAATACTTTGTATTTAGGGAGACAATGGATTGATTCACAAATGGGTGTAAGTATTAACAGAATTTGAGTTATACTCAATGCTAATGGTAGAAAGCTGTCCTTGCAATTACCAACCCTTTCAATGTGTATGACTTTTACGACTGTGATGAAATTATAATCCTGTTAGCAGATGAGGAGTATGCCTCATCACAGTATTCTAGTCGGATAAGCACATGGCAACTATATCTCTTCACTACTACAGTTGTATTACACTGAGTTGTAATAATGCTTTGTGCATTGGAATAAGATTATTGCATACAACAAAAAGTATAATGATATTAAAAATTGCTAGACAGAAGATTGTTTTGCTTTTATTTAATTCATATTGAACAGTAAATGTCCGCTTAGCAAGATATTCTCATAAAATTAAAAATGATTAAAAAATATATTTTTTGTCCATTGTATTTGTTATTGAAAAAGAAGTAGCAACAGAAGAGTGGTAACATCAACTAATTAGTGAAAAAAAGGTTAGGTTTATTAGTTATGTTTAAACTGTGATTTCGCTTAAATCATGATATAAGTTAAATATGAGTTTTTGAAATAGTAATCAATAAACATTAGTGATTGACAGACTAAAATAAATACAAACAACTAAAAATATTAAAAAGAAACATAACAGACAAAAGTTCTTTTTGTGCGTGCTCTAAAGCTTTGCTGAGTATTGAACAAGAGGTAGTAACATCCTGTTATTCAAAAATAAAATTTAAGTTCAAAGAGTGTAAAAAAAAAAGGTGTCAAGTTGTACCTGTGAATGTTGGGTGTGGTGACATACCAGGACCTGGCATACCCATTCTTCCTCCAGACATCTGGGGTGGGAACCCTGGCCTGGGGCTCTGGTAGAGAAAAAATTATGAAGGATTTTTTAAAAAAAGGTTATTTTTTATTTTCTTCATTTTAGTGAAAGTATAAGAAAGGGGAGTAATCTCCCCTACACTTTCTGCAATATTCTTATATAACACTAAGGGCTGGAATAGCACTTCCAGTGCAATCAGGCTATAGAAATAAGAAGTTTGTGAGATATAACACTAAGGAGGCGAAACGTTCTTAAATTTGCTGCTTTAAAAAGTATGAAATAAAATTATCAAATTCTTATGGGTTTTTTTTAAGAAAAATCGGAAATAGTGTTTACGGGAAATCAATCAAAATTCGACAGACACCCCTACATAAGATCTTATACCTTTATATGAAATTTCCTCAGTCTAGCTGAAAGGTACTCAAGTGATCAAATTAACAGGGGTCATATCTAGAGTAACTCATGATTCTGCAAACACACATAGCAAAAAAATCAAAAGTCCCGATTTCAATTGAGTCTCATTCCGTAACTATTTGAAATAGAAAAAAAAAAAAAGTACACTAATATACACTGCAACAAGTAATTTAATAATTAATATGTTTTTCCCACAGCTAAGCCAGTCAAGTCACATGGCGCATCACGGAGCCTTGCCTTAAGACAATCTGTCTTTCCCCTCCCCCTTTTCCATTTTCACTGGCCACTGCCTTTCTTGACCTTATTTTGACCCTTTCCCTTTTCATCTTCCACAGCCAGCACCTTTAACACTGCATTCTTTTGTCTACAGGTTCAGTTATTCTCTGACCAATTACACCAGTGACCACTTGGCCTCTATTCTGTCTCCAATAGTGGGCTAATGTTTTACTTTAAACTTTACATATTTATTAATTTATAGCGTGTTTTTACTTTACAGAATTATATCATAAGATAGATTTTACATCTAATTTACATTTAAGCTCTCAATTCCTAGGCTTACTTAATAAAAATTTTTTTTTTTGAGTTGCTAATTTCTCCGATGAGAGAGCCCAAAAAAGCCTAATATGCCAGCAAACACCCCCTTTTTTATTGTTTAAATAGAAAAAACCCCATTAACCTTGACATTTAAGATGTTCCAAATATGTAGTGCCCATAGAACCTATTTTAATGTAATATGTTAGCTAAGTGTTGATTGATTCATGTTTTGCAGCTAAGTCCAACCCTAGGTGACTTCATTTGGGGTGGCGTAAAAAAAGTGCCGACCATGCAAAGTATAAAAAATTCTTTAAAAAGTTCCTAAAAGTGAAAATGAAAGTACTTAACACGGAAGTGTTCATGACTGAACAGTTTACTACGTTCAGGCCTAGTGGTTTTTATTTAGCATAAGACATGATAAATAAAGTTTCTATGAGCCAAAAACCGATGAAGTGTTTGCTGCAATATGGATCCAGGGGTGCCACTCCTTTTTTAAGTGAATCATGAAAATCAATCCCAAAATTTTACCAATCCTGAAACTAAAATTTGAAATTTTTAAGGATAGACACCACGGATAGAATCTTTTTTTAATTTAACATGCTTCAGTGTGTTTAATAGATTTATATGTTAATAGTTGTTGACCTATAGACAAAAATATTATATAGTTGCCAATAGTAGTACTGGTTGCCATGGAAACCACGAAAAGGTGTAAAAACTAACACCTTTTCAAACCTCTATAAATTTGTTCCCAAAAGAAATTTTTAAAATCTGATGACACATTTAGATTTCTCAAACCGAACTATATATTTGTATGTTTATTCATTGCGATAGCTCATATTCAATTTTTAATACAAATTTTCACGTAAAACTATGTACAAAAATTAGGGGTGGTGTTACATAAATATCAAAATTTCATAAGGTATTGCAGTAACCTCAATGTACAAACATGGTATTGTAGATAGTATAATGCTAAATGTATGTGGAAAGTTTCTGTCTTTTATCACAAAGGGTTCCAAAGCCTTAGCGATTTGATTGTTGAATTTTGAGTAAAAATGCAAAGTTGAGAAAACGTAAAAAAAAGGATGGAAAAAGACACTGTGCCTTTCCTGTTATAGAAAACAGAAAGAGACCTCTTGTTATTTGTGGAAGAGCCATTTGACTAATAAAATACGTGTTGACGTATGTTATAAGTTTTAGACAGATTTTTCTACATAAGCAGAAAATATGTATAAAACAGGTAATGTATTAATGACTATTAAGTATTACATATCCTATGAACCGAGTGTTATTCTCAGAACAACTATCAACAAACCAGATTAATGTTTGTTTGTTAGCAGGTCTTCTCACTTCAATACAATGTCTATCCCTATTTAAATTGTAGCTTAAACAAGTTTATTGCCTCATGATAATAGCCTGCTACACAAACCTGGGTACAGTGCTTGAGGCTAGACACGCCCACCACCCAACCCCACCGCTGGATAGTGCATGAAGATCCGATGAGCCATAGATTACCAATGTCCATTAAACCAGGAATAACACATCCGTGTAGGTAGGGTCAAGGACTGTTTCTGTTCAGGGTGTAAGTGAATGCTTATAAGCTATCTCATCTAGTATTTACTACTAAACCCTACACTGAACAATGGGCATACACTTGTGTCATTTACAGTCCAATATAAAGTCTGATGAACGCATTCAAGCCTATCACAGCATGATGTATGAAGATTAAAACTGGCTGTTGGTTGAACAACGAGAAGGGGAAGAAGGGGATGGACTTAGTACATTATTTAAACTGACGCGTTGTTTCAGCTTAGTATAAAACATACTAAACAGTGTTTAGTAAAGTTCAAATGACAATCAACAATGGCAAAGTTTCAAATATTAACCTAAATGTCTAAATTTTAAAACAAAAAAAATAAAATAAACAAACGAGAAAGGCGATAGTTTTGTTTATCTAGAAACAAGATGGCTACCTAGCCCAGAAGTGCCAAGGTCAGGAAAGCATGCAACAAAACCCATTCCTTCGAAATAAGGAAGTGCTGAAGCCTTTGTTGCTGGGTGGTGTTACTGAGGATAATGAACTGTTTGCCAGGATATATGGCAGACAGAAGCCTTTTCTGCATTAAGAGGGTCTTTAAATTTAATTCAGTAACTTCACTTGAGGTGCGTAAAAAAGCATTTTTTCCCTGTTATTAAATTTAATTGAAAGCTACACTTAAGGTAAGTTTTTTTTAAATGTCTTATTGCCTAATTAATTCTTCTTTGTTGCATTTTGAGGGCACATATTTGTATATTATTATTGACATTTATAACAACAGTTTTATGCTATTAAAAAGGGGGGCTTGCAAACAATACAAATTTTGAAAATTTATTAATTTAATTTACTATTTTGATGTGCAAATTATGGCAGTAATTTTCATGAATTAATTGATTATTATTCTTTGTATTTTCAGGAAATGTTTGTATATTTGTAACAGTAGTTTTAGGTTATTAAAAAATAGGGCTATCAATACAAATTAAAAAACAAAACTAATTATTGAATAAAACATTTTGATGCACGAATTAGAGCTTATTTTTATTAACTCTTTAAGACCGCAACGACGCTCCCAGTGGTCAGTCCGCCGGCCTGCCATACCGTAACTACGCTCCCAGCGTCCGATAAAATTTTCTCTATTTAATTCGTTGTTTTTCAGAATCCAAGTTACTTTAAAACACTATACGTAGCTCGTTAAGGACCATAATCCCCCCCCCCAACGTTTAAAATCGTTTTAAACTAAATTATCTGCCCCTAATAGCCGTCACTAAGCCCGACTCCACGAAGGTAAACATAGCGTGAACCACAGCTCACTAAGACCATGTAGGGGTGGGGATGGTAGGGAGCGCGTTTACAGCTTGTTTTCTAGCGACTCCCAAAAGAGAATTATATATATAGATTCTTTGCATTTCAGGGTACATAATTGTATAGGCCTATTTGTAATATTATAGCCTAACTGTAATTTTAAGTTTTTTAAAATAGTGCTCTCTGGGTTTAGTGTTTTTAAGCAAATATTTTCAGTGGCAGCATTGGTACTGTCGAATTCACAAATTATAAATTACTGAAAAGTAGAAAAAAAAACAACTAAATAGCGGCGTATGATACGCAGCGGGTCGGTTCGTTTACTATATTTTCTGTTAACCAGGATATTAAAAAACAAAAAAAAAATCATTTCTCAGCTTCTAATTAAGCTAGAAATAAAAATGAAGTATCTATGCAAAGCTGAGCTCCAACACCAAGTAACTAACAGGTTTATATGGTATAAAACTTATTAATTCTAATCTTATGCTACTACCTACATTAGCGGGAGTCTTGTCAATAAAAATGATTTCTACAATGCCAAAATTTTCAAGCTTAAAACGATCTTAATTTTTTTTTTAAACTACAAACCCGGAAACTCAAATTTCGCAAATCTGGAAAAGGAAAAAAAATAGGCAGATGCTAGCCAGAAAAAGATACGCTCAATGGAGAGAAACTATTTCTTGCCTTCGCTGCAATGTTTGTGATGGTACTGCACATGTGTGTGTTTACAACCGCAGAACCATAGCATTAACCCCAACTCTATCCCTAATCCTATCCCTAACCCTAGCCATAGGTCATTGCGCATGCGCAGAACTATCTTTTGCCGGCTAGGTGGAGACGTTGGGGCGAAAAATCTTTTTCCGAGTAGTCACTTCGAAAAAAAATATGATTCTTGAATCCGGAAATCCGGGAAAAGTGGCACCCTACTAAGTAGGCTTTTTGATGAGAATTACAGAATGATTTTTTTATTAAAAATGTATCAATAATAGCTAGAACACTAGTAAACTAAGCTAATTTAGCATATTTTAACTTTCTGTGCAAAGTCATTATTACTGAAAAAAATTCTAAGTCAGGTCAGCCTGTGGCACCCTCCACTGAACTTGACAGAAGGAAAAAAAACTTGACCCGTGACCCTCATTAAAACAGAATTTGCTTTTGTTTTATTTTTTATTTTTAGTAAACATGTGCTTTATCTTACCCAATAAGTGATAAAAATTTGAAAATTAATTTTAATTACTGTTGTAAAGTGAGATAAACAGCTTAATAAACACGTGTTTTCTTGAGGGGGTGTGACCCGGGTGTGTCACATCGCAATTGGAACTTTATATTTCTGTGTTTTATGACTATATTTGTTTACAATTAGCATGCTATGCTTTTAAAATTGATAAAGGGTAAGTATACCAAGTTACAAAATCTGCAATCTAACTAATAATCATACAAATGATCGTTTTTATTATTTTTTAAACTGAAACTAATAATTCATACTTTCAGTTTAAAAAATAATAAAAACGATCATCAACAAAGAAAGCGTAAACATTCTATTTTTAGGTGTGACATAAAAAAACAGTTATAAATCTAGCCAAATGATTGGATTCTTGCGCTGCACACATTTTCCCGCACCTTGTTTTCACCAAACAAGATTATAATAAAATGACATTATTGGGGGTGATCGTTTTCCCACGAACACATCTCATAAACCCAAGAAATTATTACCAGTTAGGTTAATTGTAATGTGAGTTAAATTAATAGTTTAAAGTTTTCAAGGAACATAGGCTGGTTTTCAAGGAAAGCGATATTTCAGAGTTATTTGATTTAAAAGACAAGAATACAAGAATACAAGAATTTTCACTTATGCGCCGCTTGCGAGACAAACAAATAAATTAGGTCAAAAGTACATCTGGGAATTCTTAAATAACAGACTGAAATAGAAACGGATAGTTCCGTTTTCTAAAATTAACGATGGCATCGTAATCAATAGTTTTATTCCTCTACCGTAGGGACTTGGATGACGTAGATTTTGAGGCACTAAAAACGAGAGTTTTCTGCCCATACCGAGTTTCGTCGATTTAGCCGTGCGGTCGCGGGTGATGATCGAAAAAAATTTTTTTTATTAAAAATCGCCGATGCTACTAATAATTTGATGACTGCTTCTGAAAAACAAATGGATTTCATATGTTACGGTATTTTTGTTTTGAGATTTTGTTGAAGGTGAAAATGGATTTTTGGAGCCAAACTTTGGCTACGTAAAACTCTTTGTACCATAAAAACTTACTAACAAGGAAGGCCATTAAAAAGCCCTCCGACCATAATCACCATTTTTCTTTATGTGTGTAAATTTTCATAATGTTAATCGATAGCAAAGTATTTTTTTATAAATAGTTTAGAAAGTATAGCCTTAAGCCATTTTACGACTACCGGGAAAGACAGAGGTTGAAACCGGAAGTGTACTTGTGTTGTTAATGACGCCATTGCTCTCAATTGAATTGATTTGTAAATCCAGCAACATCCACACGAATCTGACTTTAAAATCATTTTAAACTATAGAATTATATTTTATATTGATAAAACTATGATTTTTTGTTGACTTTGTGCGCATATTTTCTATTTAGATTCATTTTTTTTGTAATTTTGAGTTAGATCTAAAAATAGATTTCTGCGAAATTTTTCAAGTTGAATTATTGTTTCATTTTAATTGTATGGCCTAGATATAGATCTATATTGTTCTTGAATGAGTTCTATATTTTATATTAGCTATCACTATAGTATCTTGTGTACTTTCCACATTTTTCTTAAATTTTAAAGCTTGATATAGGCCTAGATCTAGAATCTAATATAAAATTCCATTTGCCTATCATTTGGTCTATAAATTTTCTTATAATAAGATATAGGCCAATAGGGTAATTCTATATTAAAAATTTAGCCTTTTGATTGCTTTTCAAGCGAATTTTTATTACCAATATTACTAATATTCAAACATTTTAGGAGTCCTATATTTTCTTTATAGCTCTAGGACTTTGTTCGTTTTAGATTTATTACTAAATTACTACAATCCTTGTACAATGTTCTGTCTTCATCTGTAGGCCTATTTGAAGTACATATGATACTACTGTATTTTTGCTGTAGTATACATCTCAGTTGCTTTTTTACTAGTCTTGGCCCTAGATAAAATGTACCAGTTCACAAGGGGATACAGAATCAAAAGATGTGGATCTACTCATAAGCAACTTCAATGAAGGAGAAATAGGTCCACTTAAGAATGGATGTTGCTGGTTTTTATTACAGTTCTAAAAGCTATCAGCCAGAGGAGACACAGCTTCAGTAGATGTTTAATCAGATTTCATTTTTAAATCATTGATGGTGTTATTTTTTAAAGTAAAAAAAGTGATACAAGCTAACAGACTTAAACATGTTATCCACACAGCATGAGATGTCACTTAAATATATGACAGATGTTTCTTAATTATAAAACTTACCTTTAACATTAAACGGTGATCATTACTCCACCAATAAAAAAAATCATTTCAATTATTAAATTATTTGTTCAACAATAATTGTAAATTAAATTATATCAATTCTATGATAACATACACATAACAGGGATGAAATATCATGCATATTGACAACATTTAGATACAATTTTAGTAATCTAAAATCAGTTTAGCATTGTACTTCTTTCTTGCAAAAAAGTAGTTGCGCAGAACAAAAATGACTTTTTAAATTTGACCAACATTGTAACAAAACCACATAAGCTAAGTGAAATATTTTTACTTTGTGTGTATGTATACAATGTTGGCACCAATTAGGCCAATTTTCATTAAGATATTCCATATAATAAAAATTTGGCAACAGATTATGTGTTGCCTATAGCAGAATTTATTGTTTAAAATTAAGGGGGGTATATGAGTTTAAACCCCTTTTTCATTAAATAAAATATTTTTAAAATCAAATTTGAACAAAGGAAATATCAAAGTATATAATAACCTTCATGTTTACAATATTTCTTGCATATAAGCAAAGTAATCTAAAATCAGCTCAACATTGTACTTCTTTCTTGCAAAAAAAGTAGTTGCGCAGAATAAAAATGACTTTTTTATTTTGTCCAACATTGTAATAAAACCACATAAGCTAAGTAAAATATTTTGGCTTTCTGTTAATGTATACAGTGTTGGCACTATTCAGGCCAATTTTCAGTAAGATATTCCATATAATAAAAATTTGGCAACAGATTGTGTGTAGCCTATCAAAGACGCTTATTCAAAAATTTTAGGGGGGTGACCCTCTTTGTTAACATTATTTTTTATGATCATTCTCATCCAATTCAATTATTTTTATCTTACTCTTTTACTGATATCTTAAGCTTGATCTTAGTGAATTTTCATTAAAAAATACCTGCTATTTAAAAAGTTACAGAGATTTTAGTTCGCATCCAAAAAAGTAGGGAAGCAAAAAATTGAGAAAACCCCATAGTAAAAAAACCCGAAAATTAAATACATTAAAAATTCATAACTTCGTAACCGTTTGAGCTAAAATTAAAATAAAAGTATCTTTGTTCTTGTCTAAATGAGCTCTATAAACTGGTGCTGCTACATTTTTTATTTTTTTAAAAATGAAATTTCATCCAAGTCCCTACTCTACCGTTTAGAGAAAGCGAAACTGGTCGCCATTTTAGTAAGCGCATGAGCCGTGAGATACCACGAAAATGACAAACCTGGAAGTGTTGAATCGAACGGCCTACCTGTAGTAGATCTATATTCGCTCTTATGCAAGTTACTCTAGTCTATATCTACAATAAGTGGGTTTTTTTTTTTTGCAAAGCAATCGATCAATATGAATGATATTAGGCCAGATTACTAGAATCTAGAATTTGTGACAATTTGTCATGGTCCGTCAGTCATGTCATGATGGAGAAGAAACTTAGAATTTAGAACATACCGAGACATATCCTCCTTGTTGAGGGTAGGACGGTCGCATTGGTGGTCCTTGATTCTGGTATCTGGGAGGACCTGACTGCATTTTAAAAGGAAAAATAATTTATAATTTCTAGATCTATAATATTAAGAATCAGTCTTTGTTTCTTTATGTTTCACTAAACACTAGGCGGCCATAGCGGAAGTAATAACTCGTTTATAGCTTGGGAACTAGGAGCCAGATTTTACTATGTATACGGAGATTTTCGCAATGAAAGTTTTGAATTAAACTTTTCGTAAGTCTAAGCATTTTTTATATGCTCACTATTTAAAACTGAAATCCGGGTCAATAATATGCACATTGATCATTGTACAATAACTGCTAAAATTAAAACTTCATTTTAAAAAATGTACCCGCCCCTTCCCTTCTACGGATATAATGAACATGGGTTGGCAACACGTAACATGCCGGCCGAGTTTCTTCCAGGCATCTCTTCAGAAGAAAGTCTACCCCCCCCCCCCCCGAACTAAATGGAATTTATACAGAAAACATGTACTTTTGCCAGTGTCCGCCCTCCATCACAAAATACAAAGTGCCCTTGTTAAAGGCCAATATCAACCATCATACCATGTCTTTGAATCCAGCAAATATAACATAAAATTTATATCAGTCATGCTTTAGAATCTAGAATATGGAACACATAGACCTATCTTTATAAACATAAAATAAGTATTATACTTATTTAGCCTACTAATACAACTTGAAAATGTATTTATTTAATACAAGTGACCCAAGTTTAAGAATCATTTGTGACTAGCTTTGTATAGATCTAAATCTGCATTGAAAATAAATAGTGTGCCAATCCGTATTCGTCTCGAAAAAAATGGGAGGGGGAGGGAGAGGAGCTCCGGATTTAGTTTAAGGATATTTTAGGCTTTTTGTAGATTTAGTTAGACCTAGATTCTTCACCTACACAAAATATAATGTATTATCTGGGGAAATGTGAGCCTATGTTTTTATTATATATTATTTGCGCTCCCAAAATTTTGTATTTAAATGTAATCTTTTGTAAAATGAACAAAATTAAATGTGCAGACGTATTATTATTTGTGCCGTTTCCTCAATGCCGAAACTTAAATTTCTTGAAAAATCTCTGTTGCCGGAAGTAGGTCGTATCTACTATTCATTGTAAAAATTCCAAGATGAAAATGGCAAACGAACCAGTACCAGTTATTAGAAGAAATCGGCCGGGCACAAAAACAAAGGCAACATTTTGATTTTATGACACGCTTGTTGTTATTGTTAAAAGTAGATCTAATAGAACTATTATTTTTATATATTTAGTCAGCGAGCTATTATTTTATTTTCAATATTTCCCGCTTGCTGTTGCCAACAGTGTTGCCCACTTCACTAAAAAATTAGTAAATTACAAAAAACAAAAAACAACTTAGGTTCTAAGGTTAGGCTTAGGCCTAACTGATTATTACTAATTAGCTAATCTCGACTAGGCCTATTTCTGACTTGACTAGATTCTAAATCTAGATCTACAACCTTGTAGGCCTAGTATTACTAAGTTACTAACTACTAGTTAGGTTGAATTATGGATTTTTTAAAATAAAATATTCTGTTATTTCAAATACACCATTAACTTCCTTACCCCTTGAGAGAACATTTGACACCACATTTAAATATCTAGCTTACTCGGTTGACGAGAAAAGAGAGAATTTGAAATTTTTCCGATATTGGAAAATGAAAGACAAAACAGCGTTTTATCCCCTCGACCGGCATAACATTACGTCGTGGACTTGTGTCCACGAGCTTTTAATTCCCGCCATGGTAGTTGCGTCAGCTTAGGTTATTTACTCACCGGAAAATAACAAAAAGCAACTGGTTGATAATAAAACTAGATCTAGATCTAGTTATTTTATTATTTATTAAATTCTACTCTACATGTTATTCATACCATTTTATGAAGTAATGAACACCTGCATAAATCAAATGACCATAATAAATATTTTTATTTCAAATAATAAATATGCATAAAATAATATGATAGTAATTGCTAAGATAGTTTATAAATACAAATACATTTTACACTCAATCACATTATATTGAGTCAACAGTGTGGCAGCTGAGGTTCATACATGGTATTAGTGTCCCCTTTTTTTTTACATTACATTTTTTTTTCATCTTGAAAACATGACGTATGTGATTTTTTTTTAAAAATAAAATCTCCAAACATCGTCACTCGCGTGATTGCTTGCTTATGTTTACTATCCTGTGGATGAAAAATCCCACCACGGTCGCGGGGTCACCGTGACCTATAGTACACGTCATAGAATGAACACGCGTACACGAGATGGTCGGTGTCTTCACTTCTCTCTCCCCCCCCCCCTTCTTCAAGCAAATTGAATAACAGACCTACTTCCCTACTTCTGGTCATTTTTTTTTTTAAAGTTCGGTCATTTTTTTTAAAGTTCACATATCAGGCATGCTAGACAGCCAGCTGTATAAAAAAAAAAATTTAACTAGATCTACGACTAGCTTAAAAAAATAAATAAATAAACGCTTAAAGTGCCCGTAAACAGATTATTTAGCGCCAAAAAAAAAAAAAGGCAGCTGAAGAAGCATTTTTTTAAAAATACGCAGCAATGAAAAGGGCTAACGACCGATCAATTAAGTCTAAAAATCGCCCGTAATTAGGCCTAGCTCTGAAAAAGGAGGTCGGGCCGTTTTCCCCGGAGGTCGGTCGTTTTTAGCGGCGGTTCAGTTTTTACGGAGAGCGCTCCACTAGAAATCCTCTCATTATTTACAACAAATCTCTCGATTTTTTTCTGGCATTCTAAGGCATATTATCCATTTTATTAGCATTCTGCATTAAAATAATGATGAGAATTTGCGAGATTAACAGTTTTTTCATTTGTCGTGGATGGGACCCCTAAAATAAACGTAAAAACCGTCTAAAAACGACGCGTGACGTTTCAGGGTCAGAGGTCAATCCAGCCATCTAAGCAACGCGCCAGACTACTACTAGTTAACTAGATCTAGAATTCTAGATTTAAGATCCACTCACTACATGAAACCAGGCAGTGAACTGAGTGAACCCACGAGTTAAACTTTAATTGAAATGATAAGCTGAAAGCAAGAGTCTCACTCTTTATACTCTTATATTATACTACTAATAGAGTAGGCCTATAATATAAGCATAGTAGGCCTATAGAATAGATGACACTGGTAAAAGTATATTTTTTTATATAGGGGGCCTATAGCCTAAACTCTATTTCATGGGGGGGGGGGGTGTAGAGTTGAAAGAAACTCTGCATGCAGACAAGATTAGACAAATAAATTAGTTGGTAATGTTAATGTCTGTATTATCAAGTAGAAATGATTTCATTTTTAGTGTGTAATGTTTTAGCATTAGATTATAATCAATGACGTCATTTTATTGTGTCCTTTTCCAGCTTTAAAATTGTACGTTTTGTTTTGATAAATTGCTATTAATTCCATGTGACATCACTATAGTTCGCTGTGAAACTTTTTATTTACCTTGTTTTCTCAAGAGCGTTCCAGCAAAACAGAATAGCGAAAATATTATTATAGATATATGACTAATTTGCAAGTAGACCTAATGGTTAAAAATTAGGCAAAATAAAGATATGCTTGATTATTTTCTATGTGCGTACAAAATTGATGAGGCTTGTGCAGGTGTGCATCTGTAATGTTTTAATTAGATATTGATTACTCATTGCAGGATTGGTGTAACTGGGAAGATGAGTCATTTGAAGAAATGGACAGCACATTGGCAGTTCAGCAGGTTTGGTAACTCTTTATAACTCTAATTTTAAGTTTTGCAATTTCTTATAAGAAATATTATTTGTAGATAGCTGACTTAATCTAAACTGTCTCAAGATATACATATTTAATTTCTTAGGTGACAGCCAATGATTTCAATTTCTTATCCATGTTTACCCTACTGTCTATTCCCTGATATTGTGGAAATGTATTTACAAATTTATCAAAATATGTTCTAACATTTTATTCTAATAAGCAGTGCTGTTGTTCGTTAACATTTCACATTAAATCTTGCTCAGATTGTTAGATTCTAAAAATATTTTATTAGTATTTAGTAGATGGTTAAATACTGTTTTTTCTCCAGTTCATCCAACAAGCCATCAGAAAAGATTTCACAAATGTTGAAGATATCCTAAATCCACCAGATGGCCAGGATGAAGGTGTATGGAAGTATGAACACCTCAGGTACAGACTTTATGGATGTTCACTTCATTAGTTTTATTTGGTGCAGCTATTAACCTTTTACAGTCTAGTGCACCTGAACTATCCCTATCATTCGTGGCTCATTTTCTATGATTTAAAAAATTTAAGAATGTTTTTTTTTTAAATTATGGGCAATATTTAGTGAAATCATATCTAATTAAAATTCCTCTTCTGTTTAATCGAGCATTATTTGTAACGTAAACAATACAGTGTTACTGAAAAAGAACATAGATCTAGCTGAATTTTTATAGCATTTATAATAAAAAATAATAGCAGAAGTAGCTTTTTGTTTATGCTTTTCTGGTATTAGTTTTTTATTTTAAAAAGTGCAGTGATTGAAAAATATGTTGTCTTTTTTTTGCTGTGCTGAGGGGAAATAAAATAGTTTTTATGTCACTGACTGGAAAGGTTAAGAAAACTGTGTTGGAGTCATATAGTAATAGTTATTTTTTTGGTATTATTTTATCTTTTTTACACTAATATGAATGTTCATATTTATGTATTTGAATGTATGCACATTGTTTTTTTTTCATAATGGTTGGCAAAATCTGTTTACTTTATTATAGGCAGTTCTGTATGGAATTAAATGGTTTAGCTGTGAAGCTACAGGTAACTTACACAATGTCCATTATTTGTATATTCCAAGTCTTCTGCCTTGAGTTTAAGTATTGGCTTTAATTTATGTTCTGAGGTCAATTGCAAAGTGTTGAAAACATAAAAATAGTATTTTAAGTTTAGACATACTTAGAGTAGGGTCAAAATTTGAAATATATATTTACCTTAATTACAACAGGTAGAATGTAATCCAGAAACATGCACTCAAATGACAGCAACTGAACAATGGATTTTCCTATGTGCAGCTCACAAAACACCAAAAGAGGTACATCTCTTGTTTTTCTCAGGCTAACTTCACAAGCACAGATAAATTATTTTTTCTTGTGTTTTTTTTTAATAGATTTAAAATTCATTTAGTTGTACACAACCAACTTGATCAAGTTTGGTTTTATTACTTTGATTTCATATTTTTATCTAGTGTCCTGCAATTGATTACACAAGGCATACATTAGATGGAGCAGCTTGTCTTCTTAACAGTAACAAATATTTCCCTAGCAGGTATTTTTACTGTATTTTTTATCCTAATATTAAAACTTCCTATATTTGTACTTTTGTTTTTCAGTAACAGCAATTAGATTATTATTTTTGGTTAGAGTGGGAACGCTTAAGTTATAAGTATAAATAAAATATTATTTTCTAGGGTGAGCATAAAGGATTCCTCTGTGGCCAAATTAGGATCTGTTTGTCGTCGTGTGTACAGGATATTTTCCCATGCATATTTTCATCATCGTACACTCTTTGACCAGTATGAGGTAACTCATTTGACATTTGCTATATTACAGGCAGCTTTACAATTAAATGCTTTCTCCTTTTTAACAATTACATAGAAAATTTAGAGGTAGGTGTTGAATGTTAAACAAATTATTTCCTTTATTTTTCTGCAGAATGAAACTTACTTATGTCGGCGCTTCACTCAGTTTGTAACAAAATATAATCTAATGTCTAAAGACAATCTAATTGTACCAATAATGGAAGATCAACAAACTTTAGAAGGAGAAAGTGAAGCATAAACAAATTTAGGAATTATGGATCTATTTAACATACAGGAAGTATCAACTAATGCATTTAATCTAATTATCTGTGTAGATCATAAAAGTCATAATCTGGACCGGTAGTCTTTTGTAAATATTTAACTCTTAGGAATATACCAATGTGAAATAGGGAAGTGTTGACTGTGACCATTAGCTTTTACATTTTTTGTTATATGGTTATATTATGATGTTTAAGATTATATTTAATTTTTAACCTATTAGCTTTCTGCTAGATGAAAGATTATTTTTTTTAATTGAAGAAGTTTGTACATGATAAGCGAGCTGAAATGTACAGTTAAGATTATTACATTGTTGCTCCAATGTTTACATAATTTTTTAGTTAGTGCAATTGTTTTATTTAAGAGGTGTGCTTGTTAAGTGAAAGAGGGTTAACTTGAGATTATGGTGAATGAATTTTGCATGGTGGTTGTATGGATAAATGGTGAATTAAATTGTAATGTAATATTATGTACATAGTGCAATTATGATGTATTTTCTTTCAAATTAAAACCTAGATGTGAATTCATTTGTATAAATATATGTATATATGCAGTAGGTCTCCAGGTTTTCAAATCTAATCCTACCCAAAACTGTATTCATAACCAGTATTCTGTTTCCTATAAATTAAAAGCATTTTTATTATCTTAATGTATTTTAGAGAAACTAAAAAGTTACGATTGCCCCAAAATGACATTAAAATGCAGCTTGCACTTTTTGTGAGGTTATATAAAATTGTGATTTTGAGTTTAAAAAAAACATTTTACATCTTTTTGCCTCCAAAATTATAATTTCTCTTTCTATCATAAATTATTAAATGCACTCTTTGAAATTAAAAATCTACTACCATACTGAGTATATATATATATATATTGTGCAATATAGTCTTATATAACTGGACTTAAAAGAAAATTCAGAACAATTGGGAAACACTTGTTGTTTTCTCATTGGATCACTACCTGGATGACTTCTGTATATCAATATATAATTTATATAAAAAAATCGACAAAGTAAATTTAGACTACTAGTTCACTAGCCTGTCAAAAATTTTTTTTTACAATATTTTTCTGGTTTGTTCCTTACTGCCAATAACTTCGAAAATGTTGCATCACAACTTTGCTGATTTAAAATCAATATTTTCATTCAAAGAAAGGATGAGTTAGCCTCAGTCAAAGAAAACAAAGATGTATATGTTATAACTGCAATAATTAATAATTTATCAAGTTTTAATAATTACACACATAGCTTAATTCTTTTGAAATACTGTTAAATATATTTGAATCAAAATTTAAAATTGTGTGATTTTCTATTTTTACTTATAGACTAGAGTTGATATTCTTTGATGGTGCCTAGTCATAGATCATAATGTACAGTGCAGTTTTCATAGTTATTCAGTCATGGTTGATCCCAACATTCTGACAACAAAAAAGGTCTTAGTTTGCCAACTATTCAGTACAAAACTGAAAAATGTTTTTACTTAATAAAAAGGACCTAAGTCCTCTGCTATATGTTGTGATTTTTAAAAAAAGAGTGTTAAGACCATTTTAAAAAACATTAAAATCTTAACTTATTTTTAATGTATGCAAATTTACATTATCATTAAGTTAAATTTATGGTTTCCATTTTAATTTAAGAGGTGGACTTTTGACTTTAAATAAAAACCACTCTTCATGTTTTAAACAGTTTGTAATCTCTGTACATTTGAACTTGATATATAGTGGTTGCCAAAATCTTCCTTGGCAACTACATTTCGAGCAGCATAGATGCTAGTCTTAAAAATCAAATTATTAGTATCTGTACCCAGGCCTTTAGCTTTTAAAAGTATGCACACCAAACACATTCATAACATTAAATAATAACTGCATCACAAGCTTAGATATGTATAAAAAAAATAGTATATTAATTTAAGTGTAATAATTTAAACTGTCCTTTGAAAAACATAACATAATTAAACACATTTTTATATTGATTAGTATGGAATTTTAGACAGCAGTGAATAAAGTACACAGCCAATTTAAAATAAGCTTGGCTTTTGTAAATAAAATCTATTAAAATGTTCAGTATCCATGCTCGTCATTGTTTGTTTTGTTTGAAAATAATTTTTGTCCAAAAATGTATACACTATTTTATTATTTAAATATTAGAAAAAAATTGTTAAAAAGTCTAAAACATAAATAGGCAGAATTAAATGCATTCTTAAAACATTATGTAATACTGAAGAAATCTTAACTGATCACATAAATATTCCCCACACCATGAATGTGTTACAGATACAAAAAACCATCATCTTACAAGCAACAAACATATGAACAATGCAGACTAATGAACTAAGACTAAATAACTTGTGCTAAACTAAATATATTTTGGCAGTAGTTATCAGGAGTAGTTAGTAGAAAAGATAAAATGCATATATATATACTATAGACATAACATCTGGCTAATACTAATTCTGTTTTTAACAGTTTCTGTTTCAAGCAATAAGAGTTTTAATGGTGCCAATCCGTTCTATTCCAACATGAACAACATCCCCAGTCTGAAAAAGAAAAATCAGTTTTAAAATATCCTATTTCAATTTGTATGTGAATCAGTTCAATCAGTTTTGCCTATTATCTTTCTGCCTGCTCTAGAAAAACCTGTAAAAACACAACCTTTACTTTTCAAACTATCACCCACCCACAAACCCTGAACTTAAAAAAAACTACTTGGCAATACAATATCATTTTTTGTGTTATCTTTACATATGACTAGGGTTAGTTAAGACAGCTGGCAACCATCAATTTTCACACCCATCATCTTTAAAATTAACAGTAAACTGCAGATACCTGTAAGAATTCTGGTGGATTCCGAAACACTCCAACACCAGGTGGTGTTCCTGTTAGAATTGTGTCTCCTGGCTTGAGTGTAAAAAATCTGCAATGTATATAGATAATTATTAATTAGGTATGCTCCATATTACTCACATAATCCCCAAGGAATAAATTTCTTTTCTGATAAAACTGTATTTATTGTTATGAATGCATTTTTTATTTTAAACATAAACATTTCCTACCTAGACAAATAAGAGATGATTTCCTCTGTTTTGAAAACCATTTCACTTGTATTGCTGGACTGTTTAGTTTTACCATTTACAATAGTCCAAATTTTAAGATTGTGAGGATCTGAGAATGAAAAGACAAATTTAAAATGTGCAAAGTAGAAAAAGTAGCTTTTCAAAGCATTTAAAATTAAAACAAAATTTTTTCACAAATTATGAATAAATGTAATTTAAAAAAAAATAATTAAAATGTAAAGCCTAATTGACTTAATTTAAAATTCTTAATGTGAATTCCACTTTGAACACTTGTCATGTAAGAAAGGACAAAATGAAACAAGTACCACTTAAATCTTCTTTAGTGACAATGGCTGGTCCAAGGGGACAAAATCCATCCATGCTTTTCCCAATAAGAAACTGATTTCCATTACGCTTGAGCTGCCAATCTCTTGCACTTACATCGTGGGCAACAGTGTAGCCAAACACATAATCCATGGCAGATTCTTTCTATTCAATGAAGCAGTTGTTCTCATCAAAATATTGATTAAATAAGCCAATAGTTAAAATGTCGCTCCAGATGTTAATTCAATAAAGAGGACTATTTGGGGCAGTATAACATAATAATCAGAGGTCACATCCTGGCAGGACAAACACAAAAGCAGAATTCCATGTGTTCACTTAGTCTAAATCATAGTGTAGAAAAATGCACAACACATTACAAATATAATCAGGAAAAATGTACATACTTACTGGTATGTTTTTTCCTTCTTTACCCACTATTACAGCCAATTCAACTTCCCAATCTAATTCCTAAAAAGGTAGAACAAAAATATGTAATTCAAAGACAAAACTATAGTTTTAGATTACATATGAAGTACAAACCAATAAAAGGTGTTAGGTATAAAGTTGTCATCAGATATTGAAAAATAAACTGACCTCTGTTTCTTTAGGATACTCAATATTATCTTCTGGACCAATTATAGAGGTATTGAATTTACTGAAGACAACTGGTTCTTTAGGCACAGGAAGATTTTGTTCAGCACAGTGATCATAGTAATTCATGCCGATGCAAATCAACTTCTCTGGATTGTCAATCGGACTTAACAACCTAACCTCATCACGTTCAATTATATGACGTCCACTTTCAACAGCACTAGAAAAAATTTAGCAGAATGCAAATTATTACTGTATTACAGAAATAAACTTACATTGGCCTTTATCAGAAGCTTTATAAATACCTATTGGAGAAAGGGAAAACTGATAAATTTGGATAATGAATTACCTTTTTTCCCTTTAAAAGATCCACAAACAAAAACTTGACATACAAGTGTGGGAAGCTTTTTAAGTAAAATTTTACTTTCAACTAGACCTTTGTATTAAACTATTTTAAAGAATTTTGAGTAACTATCATCTATACACTACATTATTAACTTTACATCTAAATGGGTGGTGATAAAATGCAAGATGTAAGACAGGGAAATTGAAATTCTGAGTACAGTGATACATTTTTCAAGATTTATGCTTGTCATGGTTGTTGTTATTTGTGAGAAAAATGTTATGGACTGTGAAATAAACAAACACCCATGAGTTTGTTTTTTTTTTATATTATTTATAGGGCCTATTTGAATTTCTCAAAATAGGCCTTACTGGAAAACTATCTTATTGATGTAATTCTTATGAGTTGGGTAAACATCAGTCGAGTGTGAACATACGTGACCAGAAGTTTTTTCAGGCCACTTTTTTGGCTGTTTTGCTTAACAAAGTTGGGTTGTTGACCATTTTCTTGATTGTCATTTGTTTCTTGGTGTGAGTAAAATGTGAGATGCAGAAAAAAGAAAACAAAGTGTCTACTCGGAATAAGATTTTTCGGCAAAAGATAGTTCTGCGCATGCGCAGTGACCTAGGGTTAGGGCTAGAATGAGGGTTAGGGGTAGGATTAGGGATAGGGTTAGGGATAGGATTAGGGCTAGGGTTAGGGATAGGATTAGGGCTAGGGCTAGGGTTAGGATTAGGGCTAGGGTTAGGGATAGGATTAGGGATAGGGTTAAGGATAGGATTAGGGTTGGTATTAGGGTTCTGCGGTTGTAAACACACGCATGCGCAGTACCATCGAAAACATCGCCGCTAAGGCAAGTCGTAGTTTCTCTCCATTGCGCATGCGTATCGCATGCGTATCTTATTCCGACTAGAATCGGCCAAAAGAAAATGTGTGGGTTGTTTTGTACATTTCAATGTTTTATTTTACAATGGCTTAATTTTATTATTTCTTTATTAATCTAGGCCTAATTAATATTATTGATAGAGAACACTTAGCGGTTAATCTACTTGTTTATTGAAATCTTTTTCTTACAAATTACAATCAAGACAAGCAAAAACATTATACAAAAATTGTATTGCATATTTTTTCACTGGATTTAGATCTATTTTAGGGGTCAGGGTGGTCGAGTCGGTAAAGCTCATGGTTGCTAAACCGAAAAGTCTCGAGTTCGAACCCTCGTTAGCTGGGGAAAGCCACTCTTCTAGGAGAGACAACTCCAAAATCAAAAACTGCTGCCTTGTAATTTGTTCTTGGTTGGACAAAGGCTGTGGAGGCAAATAAAAAAAAAAAGCAGGCTGAAATCAGAGTCAATGGCCTTAATGGCGCATAACCAGTTGACACGTCTATTTAAAAATTGTGTTGGAGGGGATCACTTCGAAAACTAAAATTAAGAAAGAAGATCTATTTATGTACCCGCAATGCAGCACATAATTTCTAGCATTTTCTTTTTTCTATTTTTACCGCCCCCAATTTTCTATCCCACATTAAAGTTTTCGTATTTTAAAATGTTACCTCTTTCCAAGTCTTTCGTTTCTAATGAACTTATGAAATATGAAGAACTAACTCCGCACTAAACTAGACATTAATTAAATTTAATTAAATAATTAACTACACAGAAACACTAACCTTTGTGCTCGCGCCAGAGCCGACGGCCCGCAAGCAATGAAATCTCTCATACAACTTGGTAAAGATGAATCAAACTTGGATAGATTTACGATGTTTCCATTCTCTCCAAGTTCAACTCCTACTCCACGAGTACCAACATTTTTTACTACGTACTGAACAAATCGCATCTTACTGTTATAGTGGCGTCGTGACAAACTTCTTTTATGAACAAACTTAAAAAGAAATGTTGCTGTCTTAGATAATGAAAACAGCATTCGAATAGTAACACTAAAACAACAATAAAATACAGGATGAATCTTTCTTTTTTTCTCTCACTCAATCGTGTTTACTTTTTAAAATGTTATCAACTAATTGAACTTTGAACCCAAACGGTCATAGGTCATGAAACGTTAAAAACGAGGATTTGTGCTATGTAATGTGAATTAAAACATATTTATTGTATTGTATGGTTGGGTCAAGCACCAACCAAAATATTCAAAGTACGTTTTTGAATATGTGTTTCATGTGTCCATTTTTAAAATAATTTGACCAAAGGAAATTACAATTTTGAGACATAGGGGCCTACTGTTTTTTTTTGTTATAATTTTTTTTAAGTTATTGTTTTTTAATTTTGCTTAGTTTCAAGAGAAGCGTCAAAATGGCAGATTTAGAAAAGGGTTTGGAAGAAGAATGTAATGAAAACAAGGATGAAGAGAACTCTGATGAGAAACGTAATAATTAGAGCATTTATGAACTTTTTTTAGTATTGCAGATAGCTGCGTTAATACTAGTATTAGTAACTTCATAATTAGTATTAATTAGGCCTAATAATTAATCATTAATTATTTATTAGTAATACTTTAAACTTTTAGTAGGGCTACTCACTACTCACTCAGGAAAACATTCTGCAGTCAGCTGTCTTCATAACTATTAACTAGTCTATCTAGAATCTAGTATTGAAATTGTAAAAAAAAAATTTAAAAAAAAAACAAAAAAAACTAGACTTTTACGCATGTGACTTAGATAACAAATAATTAAACTTGGTTTAATCTTGTTTGCTTTTTAATTCTAAATACTAATGTGATTAAACTTTAAACTGATTAAACTTACCCAAATTTTTAACCAACATTTGAGACTTTAAGAATTAATAAAAATAAAATGTTTGTAAAATGTGATAAGTAGCCTGTATACACATACTTTTATGAGGGGGGGGGGGCAGTAGCACATTATAATCTTTTCTTTACATTTTAGCATTTTATGACAACACTGTGTTTTTTAATTTGACAAGTTACATAAACTGCAACCTAACAGTTTTAAAACAATCATCAATGAGGAAAGGTTAATGCTTTTTATTATAGGTATGACATGACATGACATAAAAATATTCATAAATCTAGCAAAATGTTTAGATTTTAATGCAGCATACCTTGTCTTTTACTTTGTTTTCAGCAAAATGATTATAATAAAATGGCATTAGTGGTGATCTTTTGAATGTTTTGCACCACTTACTTCCCAAAGAAGAATTACCAGAAGTCATCACATAATTAAGGCACTTAAATATCTCTACTATTTATGCTGGCTTTTGTGGTCAGCAGTTTTTAGGAGTTATTCTATATGAACTCAAAAAAAAAAGAGTAAGAGCTGATTTCACTAAGGCACAGCTTGCAAGAAAAAGAAGTGAGATCAAAAGTGCACCCAACAATGCTTAAATAATTTAAATCAGAACAGGCAGTTCTGTTTACTAAAATTAAAGATTCCTTCAAAATCATTAGTGTTATCCCTCAATGCACAATAGTTCCTAACACTGTTATATAATTAGATATGATACATACAACCGAACTATTTGACTGATGTCTATGATTAATGTAGAGTTATATGTTATAGGCTATGAAACCTCTAAGCACGCGGTTGTGCAGCCTCGCAATAGTTTTGAACCAGCACCGTAGTTATGTTGCAATATACATATATCTTTGTAACAAGACTTTTAGAGGGAACATTGGTTATATATGTAGTTTCACATTTTATAATTAATATTCATTTAGTTTACTGATCTATTTTTTTACAGCTGTTAAACCAGTGCATTTAGATCTTCATCTTATTGTGAAAAGGCATTTACCTCTAGAAGCATCTCAATGGACTCAGAATGAAATGTGAGATTTTTAATGGGTTTTCTTACATATTTAAAAAAAAGGAAAATAATTTCCTAAGACTAAATATCTATATTTATAGAAATGAAAGTAAGTCTGTCTGTTTGTTTTTTTGCTTTTTATGCATTGCTGCACTTTTCATCTGATTGCCATGCAACTTTGGAAAGTTGATGACAAAACTCCTGAGAAGGTTTCTATGAAAAATTAAAATTAATTTTGCCCCAGCAGGGTGCATTTGATATCCCAGATTTTCCTATTTACACTATGGATACCATGGGCTACCATAATTGTTGAATAAATTGAACCAGACACATCCGGTGGCACCCCAGCAGTCTGGTGATGTAACCGAAAGATTCCAAGCCCCCCCCCCCCCAGCATTGCACTGGAGTGGCTTGCTAGTAATTAAAAATTATACAGTTACAATTGATGTGGGAAGTCACACCTCAGCCTACTAAACCTCCTCACCCCCTCTAAATTTGTTTTTAAACTGTGATTTCATTCAAAAATAACTTTTATTATGATTTACAAAAACGTCTATAAAAAATTACCTTCTAAAATTCAGTTTGTAACAATACATTTCAAAATGCAAAAAAGTGTCTTAACACTATCTGATTCAAGTTTGTCCTTAAAGTAAAAAGTATGCTGTTCGACTTTTATTAAAACGTTCTCCTAAAAGTAGCTATCAGAACAGGTTATTTTAAAATACACTACAAAAACAAAGCACACTAAAAACAAAAACACAACAAAAACACAACACAAAAAAAACTGCAAAAAAAAAACAACAGGCTAAAGGAACATAAAAACATCACAACAAAATACATTACAACAAAAACACAAATCAATACAAACACAACTTCATCAGAAACAAACACAATAAAAACATTACAGTACAATACTACAAAATAAGTTTTTTATGCACTTTACCTAATACTGATTCAACATAAAATATACATTTTTATTTTCATATTGAAAGTGATAAAAATGGCTAGAAAAAGTTAAACAAATCTAATATTTTAATAAGTTATTTTCAATTCCTATTATTGTTTTATTGTTCTTTCAGGATTCAGGAATTAAATAAAATAAAGAGATTACGACTTGATCGTGAAAATATTGGTGGTATTGATGGTTTTGAGCTGCTGAGCACTGATGTCACTCATCTTTACCTCCAGTTCAACAAAATTCAAAAGATTGAGAATTTGGAATGTCTTCCAAATTTACAAGTAAATAGCATACTCGCATTCACTAAAATTAATCTAAAATAATGAATAATGCATTATATATATATATATATATATATATATATATATATATATATATATATATATATATATATATATATATATATATATATATATATATATATATATTCATGTGAACAACTAGAAAAAGAAAAATGTACAAAATGTGTCTATGTGTCTCAGTTGTTTTGAAAATTAATTGCAAGGTACAGCTTTACTGATTAAAACAAGTTAATAAAAGTGTTATGTTATATTGCCTACAACAGTTGTCAAAATTAATAGTCAGTGGTATAAGTAATCTTGTTGAATTATCATTTTATGTTATTTTACCATCTTGAATCTTTTTAAATGACTTAATTTTTATTCAGTTTATACCTTAATTAAATACCTTAAACTAAATTGACCAGATAATTACTTAATTTTTATTCAGTTTATACCTTAATTAATTACCTTAAACTAAATTGACCCGATGATGAGTATCCCAGAGCAGGTGTATTGTAATATCTATATGGATAGTCAGACACAGTAGCATGTAATCAATTTGGTTCCAGTACACAGCTTGTCTGATTACACAGATATATCCTGTGTTACCAGATAGGAAGTTCTATATGTAACATAGCCAAGTGTCATTTTTGTGGCACACACAGATGGCAAACTTCCCACCAAGAACTACAGTGACTTGTGAACTTTATTCTACCTATGCAGGGGACTTGTGGCTTCTTATTTGATCTCACATTTATTGGTCTGGTTAAACTGAACCAAAGTCCTAATTTGTGAATAATAAGTAAAGTAAGGAAAGTGCCCATTCACCTGTCCTTGGGGCAGGTGAAGTAGAGTTCATCTGTTTCTGTAACCTCTGCCTATGAAGGGATAGTGTGGTCAGCACTATGACAAGCCACTTTTACTTTCCTTAATATGAGTCAAGTACCCATTGGATCTGGGTGGACTAAAAGACAACCTAATGACTCGAGCCCAGGGTCCAAACTTGAGACTTTACGGTTAGCAGTCGAACACTATACTATTTGACTACGCCATCACAAGTCCCCATTAGTGAATAATATTACAGTAAATATTATAAGATTCATTTTGTTTCTTTTAGATTCAGTCCAAACAAACAGATGGTTTCATTAATTGGTAGTTAATCTAACCAGCATACTATGTTGTACAATTTATTATATTAAATTTGTGAATAATTGTTTTCTTCTTCTGTTAAATAGGTTTTAATTTTGTCTCATAATCAAATCAGTAAATTGGAAGGAATTTCACATCTTCAGAAGTTGGTTTTCTTTGATATCTCTAACAATTGTATAGAAGAATTAAATCCAGGTATGTTTGTTCTGGCTTGCATAATTATATGTCAATGGTCCTAGGATAGTTTGTAATATGAATTAGGTCTTCTTTTTTTTTTAAATCACACTTTTATAATTGTAAAAAATGTTACCAGCTATAATGCTTTAAACTTGTGTAGTCTTATCTTTTAATTTTATTTTAAATCAAACAAGCACATAAAGTGAACACAATTGGCATACCCTTAAGCTTTAAGAAATAATTGTTTTTTGGGTAAGAACTCACCATTATATATATAAATATATATATATATATATATATATATATATATATATATATATATATATATATATATATATATATATATATATATATATATATATATATATATATATATATATATATATAAATACTCTTTATGCTTTATGACAGGCAAGAAATAAAGCCAGTAATTAATTGAGTGGGCAAAATAAAACAATACTACATATGAACTTGCATCTTTTTTTTAATTAATTAACTAAAATGTTTCCATGCTTGACATTTCAGATGACATTCCTAAGTCTATTGTGATACTGAATCTAACAGACAATCCCTGTGCAGCAAATGTTTCTCATAGGTGATTTTTTTTCTTCTTTATAATTGTTTATCTTTTATTTTGTTTTTATTAGATCTACAACTCTGAAATCATCTTCAGGTTCTCTAAACCCAAGAAAACTGAAATCTAAATCATTTAAATTCAAACAATACCTTAAAATCTTAGGTTTGAGTTTTATGTTGTATATTTAACTCATAAAATAACTTCCATAGGAAAAACCTCATTCAGTGGTTGCCAAAACTAAAGCATCTAGATGGGTCAGATATTTCCAACAAAGACAGAATCTCAGCAGGGACTCTTGATCCAAATGATGTGGTAGAGGACAGCGATGAAGAGGAGGAAAATGACAATGATGATGCTGAAGATAATGAAGACGATGTAAGGCATGAGGCTGGAGATGAAATAATGGATGCTAGTTCACAAAATCAACCTATTATTGGATACAAACAGCTTCCCAAAATACTGCGTAAGTTATTGACCTATGGATATTATGTTAGGAAAAGAAATATATCCAGTTTTACCTCTATAACTGTGTAAATACATACATACATACATATACACTTTGTAATTATTTTTGGATGTGTTTGTTCCCAGCAAATATTCACGATGTGGCCACAGACATGCTAATGAGATCCCAGAAGAGATTAGAGAAGGATACCAGCATGCACAGAAAACACATTCAAGAGATGACGAACATTCGCATCATGACAAAAATCAAACCAATCCCTCATCTGTCCAAGCCACATGACATCTGAGCAATTGTCTAGAAGTGGGTTGCTCTAATGGCTGAAGTATATTTACCAACTTAGTATTGAATTACTGAATTTTATTTCTGGATTAATTTTGATTCATTCTATCATTTGTATGCATTGTATATATTGAGGAATAGATAAAACAAATTTTGAAAACATTTTTTTGATATGGTGTAAATATGCTTGTGCAAGCTAGTCATTCTATGAATACCTAAACATTCTTTTCATTTACGTTTGGTTAATAGTTAAGTCCAAACTTTACTTATTTTACTTACCAAAATATGTTCTGTAGAAAAAATTGCTCGAAGAGTTTATTTAACTAATCTTAAAGTGCGACATGTTAAATATTTTAAAATGATCACTGTACTGTTGTGTAAGACGAGGGTTTGATTTGTTATAGATGGGATTTGTGTGTACAAATTGTGTGTGGAGAATGACTTGGATGTGGGATGGGAACGTGAGATGTTTTTTTTTCCCAGCGTTTAAGTTGACCTGTCTCGTCTTGTTTTTGTCTGTCGTATTATTCTTCATCTAGGTCAGGGGTCTCCAAACTTTTCAGACCGAGGGCCGCATTGACTATCAAATATCAATTCGGGGGCCAGAGTTTTTTTGAGGCATATTTTCGGTGTTATGGAACCCCCCCCCCCCCCCCGAAAATCGTCTACCGCCCCCCCCCCACCCCAAATATATAATTTATATAGAAATATATACAAATTTCAAGTGCCCCCCCCCCCCCCAGAGAAAACAATCTGAAAGAAACACTGTCGGGGGGCCGACAACACACTTGAGGTCCAAGTTTGCTCTCAAATTATTCTTCACGTATTCTATATCTATGGTTGAGCCCATGTGACCTTATTAAATTCGCCATCTTCACCACAGGATTCAGTACACTGTTAATGTCCATATATTTAGCACTCAAAGCTTGCTGATGAATAATAGAGTGCAGGAGCATTGGTTGTAGAATATTTTTCTCATTCGCTTGTCCAACCAAGCCTTTCTTTATACCACTAATGTACTTTTCCCCATCAACAGTCAGGTAACTGAGGTTAGTCCAATCCAAGTTATAATCAGCAAATTTTGTCTTTAACTCATTGAATATGTCCTCTCCGGTAACAGTGCCGTACATATTATGTAGGGAAGCCAGCTCTTGTGTTATGTTATTTGTCTTCAACCACACCCATAATGAACAACACAAGCAGTTGAGAGGTGGAACAGCTGTCCAGCTATTCATCCATTGCAATTAAAAAATAGTGAAACGTGCTTGCAGTTTTGGCTATTTGAGTCACGATGTTTTCACCAATGTCTGAAACACGGTGGACAAAGGTATTTGCACCCAAAGCTATATTTTGAAATTGTTTTGAATTTTCTGAGCAAAGTTCCTCAGCCATCTCTAACAGAGATTTTTTCCTTGGACAAAAAGATTCCGCGGGCCGGATGAGAGGACCTTGCGGGCCGCATCCGGCCCGCGGGCCGTAGTTTGGAGACCCCTGATCTAGGTGAATGGGTGTAGATAATTTGAAGGCTCACTTACATTTTAAATGGTGTAAAGTTATTATCATTAAAGATCTTGTTCATTTTTCAATTGTGTGATAATAATCTCTGATAATTCAAGTCTCATTACAGAATGGTAATGTTATATACTACACTGGTAACAGTGGTTGCCAGTCTGTTGGTCAGGCTGCAATTATATGGATTACAAGACTAAAATATTTAATAAAGCTCTTTAAATGTTGAAAACTCAATGGCTGTGTTTGGTCTTACACATTTCTCAATGTCATGCGTCAGTCTTAATAAAGGGAGAGATTTATTGTCATGTTGTAGAAATAACTTTTTTTTCTTCTTTCTCTGCAACTAAAATCTTCAAAGGAAATATTTTTATTTATCAAAGGTGCTGTTGGTACTTGAGATATATATTGAGATGTAGGCAGTAGGTTCTATATGTTTATATTTTTGCTGGGACCTAAATGTAAAGTATATCTGGATTGAATATAAATCTAGATTACAGAAGGTTGTTGCGAGGTAACTAGAGGCAAGATAATTTATTCATTACAAAAGTAAAGATTAGAGGTTCTTTTGAAGGATGGGAGTAGATAAACACAGTGGCGTTGCGAGGTTGGGTGTCACCCGGTGCGACACTTAATGGTGTCACCCCCCAGAGGCGTAGCGACCCTTCCCGGGGACAAACTTTCTATTTGCACCCCCCCTCAAATTTTTCTCTATTTTGCTATTTTTTTCCTTGGTGTCACCCCCCTAAATGGTGTCACCCATTGCGGTCCGCACCCCCCCCCCCCTCGCTACGCCTCTGGATAAACATAGTGAAGCTCAGGGTGTATTTAACAGAGAAACATACCCTTTACTAATCAAGAAATCATTCATTCAGCCTCCCGCATGAAGTAAACCTACAAAGAATAGCTATCAGTTATATTTCATCCTTCCCGCCAGTCCCATTAAGCACGAAGTACTGGCATCATCATATGAAGAAGTGCTGAGATGTGAATTTGTTATCCAAGGGAAGCCACTGCTTGTGTCAATGGATCCATGGCACCTACCAAGGGAGACCACTACACAAAGGCATATACTATTTTTAATTATTTTAATCATAGTCCCAACATTTTTTTTCTTTGGTAATAAAAAAAATCTAATTCCAAGCTCCAGTACGGTTAAGTGTAAATAAAATTAATTAGCTATTAATATCTCTATTAATGTATCTTGCACCAATTATATAACAAAAGTACAACCTTTGAACCAAGGGGGTCGTCCATAAATGACGTCACACTCGTAGGGGGGGGGGGGGGTCCGTAATTTTGTGACCAGAGTTTCTTCCAGGCATCTCTTCTTTTTTTACCGCCCCCCCCCCCCCCCCCCGAACGAAATTAAATTTATATAGAAAATATATACTTTTAACAGTGTCCGCCGCCCCCCCGAAGAAAGTCTACCGCCCCCCCCCGGAGAAAAAAGTCTGGAAGAAACACTGTGACAGTGTGTGATGAGGGGGAGGGGGGTTCAGATGGTGCGACGTCACACTCTATTTTGACAGAGTTCAGACAAGATTTTAAAAAAATATCGATGTTTTAACAAAAATTCAACCGCAATTTTGAGGGGGGTTGTAGGCTGAGGTGTGACGTCACTTAAGGGGGGTCTGGCTTTTTGTGACAATGTGTGACGGAGGGAGGGGGAGAGGTAAAAATCGTCCAAAAAGCGTGACGTCATCTATGGATGACCCTCAACACCAACATTATAAACAGCCATACCATTCATCAAACTACACATATTTCCTTGACATTTTGTCCATTTAATTCAATGATACAGGCCTATATTACCAGTATGATTTATAGCCTTTTATTTTCATGCTATTTGTTGCATCTACGTTAGCATGGCATATCTTGGAAAGCCTACTTCTGATATTGGACAAAAGAACGATGTGTCAATTTATTCATCATTTATTCCCAATAACTGGCAATAACAGCTATGAGAGTATTTTTGCATAAAAAGGAAAGAATACATTTCAGGGTCCATAGCCAAATCCCAAAACAAAATTCAAGGGTTTTTCAAGGTTTTCAAGGTGATTTTGGGGGGAATTTCATTTTCAAGGTAAAACTATCGCTAACGCACACACATTTAATCAGTTTGATGAATTAATAGACAAGTAGGCATATGCAATTCAAAATGCGGGTCAACATATATTTAATTTAATAATTCATGTAAAAATAAAAGAAAAGCTTGGCATATTATATATATATATATAATTTATATATATATATATATATATTCACAAAATTAAATTACATTATGCAAAAAATTAAATTACATTATGCACAAAATTCTTTAAGCTCTAATAGCTTCTTATCAATCTGTTTTACAATCTCCTTCACGCTGGCCTCTTTTTCCCTAGCAGATTTTCTGAGGCTGTTAGACATTGTAATGAGGGTGATGTCTCTCTTTTTTGCTCAGCCTGAAGAGCATACTCATCTGCAGATGAACCTAATGTTTTTATATCTTGCTCCAAAGAGATTTTTCTTTTTTTCAGCTTCCCAAGAGCATCATCTAAAGCTTTTCTTTTGAGTCCTTGTTTGGCCTGCTCAGACTTTCCCTTCTCACTGTCTAAATATAAACAATACTTCCTGTGAGCACTACTAGCAAAAACTAATAATTTTGGTGTTATAATAAAATTATCTAAGTCAGGAGATTGTCTGAAAGAGTCCAGTATAATTCTTTTTGCAATCAGTGTCTTTGGGGCCATATTACACTCCTCCAGCTCTTTATTTACAGAAAAACCTCTTTCAACACTGGCTTGACCATGTGACAGAAGCAATAGATCTTTAACAACTTTCCAAATGTTCACATAAGAAACTTTGCTACCAAGCTGTTCTATGAAAAAACTGTCCAGCCTATCATGTTCTCTATTAAATTTGGATAAACAACCATTTAGAGTACATGTATCTATAAATGTTGAAAATTGAAACAGAACTTGGTCACACTCAGCTGATTTCAGTTTCCGCTTGTTGACTAGGATGTGAAGAATTCTCTTCATTCTTGATAGTGAACAGGCTTTATTTTCAAGCATTTGCAATGGATCTAGGCAGGCTAAATCTCTCACTAATGAATAAAGTAATGGTGATTTTAACAAAAATTTTGATGAAAACCCAATTAAAATTGTCTTACAATCTGATTTGAAATTGAGAATTTGAAGATCACTTGCTTTATTATTTTTTTTAAGAGACTTTATTAGAGAGTCAGCAACAAACCCAACTTCAATTGAATGACTTGTCAAGTGATAATCAGAATCAGTGACATTAAAAGACAGTATGTCGCTAGTTTTTTTTAAGGCACCTAGTTTATTTTCCTTCACAAAACGCCTGAGAATTCCAAATGTTAAATGATGTAGGTCACTATACATAAAAGGAAGCATTGGCCTGTCTGTCTGATAGTCCTTTAAAAAGGGCTCTATTTGTCTACATATAGAAACAAAAAAAGCTAGCTTAGCTTGTAAAAATTTATCTTGCTTAATGGCAGCCTTTACAATTTCAAATGACTCAGTTTTAGGTGGAGTACTCTGTCCTTTGCTAATGTTGTCCAAGTATTTTTCAATACTAGGTACTAGCTCCAGAGCTCTTTGAGCGACATTAGAGTTTTCTAGCCACCGATGTTTGCAAAAGCGAAGAGGAAATATAGAAGATCCAGTTGCTTTTGTGAAATCTTCCCTCCTAGCAGGAGTGTCTTCAAAAAGTTTGTGCAGGGACTTTAAAAACTTGTCTAAGTTCCAACTTGTTGCCTCCATAGCTGCTTTAGCAGCTCCATGAACCTTGTGTAACACACAGCTTCCAACATTAAGAAGCTCCACTCCTTGGTCATTTTGCATTGAAACATTCAGCTTATCATGAAATGACCAATTGACATTAGGTCCATCCATTGACAATTGGAGTAAATTGCCTCTGTTTAAGGATGATGTAGCATCCTCAAATGCTGACATCATGTCTAAAGCTGTTGCATGACCAAGAAACCTAGAAGTGAAGTAGCGTGTTTTGACTAAATTTGAATCCCATACTCTAATATGGAAATCCATCTGTTTTGTTTGGAAAGCCTTATTCATGCTCTCATCAAAACAAATGACGTAAGCTTCATTTTTCAAAATTTCTTCCAGCAGAGAAGAAAAATAAGGAGCTAATCCAAAGCAAGCCAAATAAGAGGTTTTTCTTTCAGACAGCCTAAAACGTTTTGCAATTTCACTGTCAGGAAACATCCGTTGAAAATATTTGTTAATATTGCTGTTTGAAGTAAAACTGTGGTGTCTGTTGATTGTAAAAAGAGTCCAAATGATCTCGGCTTTAAGGGTGTCTTCTGCAGAAACAAAGCTAGATATATCCGATGAAGTATTAGCCTTGGCTGTCTTGCATGTGTTTTTTGTCTCTTGAATGGTTTCATGCTGAAATTATTTTTAAATTTTTATTAATATTACTGGGTTGTTTTTTTTCATTATTTTAAATAATAAGATACTTATTTATACATGATGTTACTGTAGACTTATTTCCATTCAGAACCAAAAATATTATATATACTACACAGTATACACATAATACAGTATACACTGACAGTGTGTAGATCTAGTACATATTTGTTAGTATCTCTTTAAAATTATTTTTAAGCATCTTCCTGCAATATCTAATTCTGAGAGAGAAACCCCTGGTGACTAAAAATATTGTATTGATTCATTAATTTCATTAAATCTGCTCTGCCTTTTAAAGTGTCACTGTCCTTTTACTATGAATTTGAACAAGTAGATCTAGTTTATTATCATTATGTTTATATTATTGTATATTTTATATTAAAAATCTAAAAACTCATTACGATTACAGCATACTAATTTAAATATAGATCTAAATCTATATTTATTTAGACTAAACTTAGACTAGATCTAGATCAGAGTTTCTTCCAGGCATCTCTTCGGGGGGGCGAAGCCCCCCCGAAAATTTTTTACCGCCCCCCCCGAACGAAATGAAATTTATATAATTTATATAGAAAATATATACTTTTAACAGTGTCCGCCCCCCCGAAGAAAGTTTACCGCCCCCCCGAAGATTTCAAGTGCCCCCCCCGGAGAAAAAAGTCTGGAAGAAACACTGATCTAGATTCTAGTTTAGATTCCATTAAATATTCTAAAACTATAATCTATACACTATACTTAATACTTAGATCTAGATAAATATATAATAAAGATCTAGATAGAATTATAGATCTAGATCTACTAGAGTTTACTACTACTAGACTACAGATACCTGGCTTAAGTAAGTTGGTGAAAAAGTGAGCATACCTCAGAATCAGCAGATGTTGAACTAGATCTAGGTGTGGCATTAGGTGTAGTAAAGAAGGCTTTCATAGAAACAGCACTTGAGATTTTGCTCTTAATGAGGGATTGATGTTTTTTACCAGATGCATGAGACCCAAGTGCACTCTCGCCCATTCCTGACAAAACAATCTCCTTTTGGCATAACATACACCTGGCGTGGTTCTCATTTTTTGCTTGCGATAACCATAATTTATATTTATCCATTTCAAGCCATTTCAGCTGAAATCGGCATCCAGTCATTCTTAGAAATTGATAAGTAGATTGATAAAGATTTTAATTTGATTATTGAACTCGCGACTAAGTTTTAAATTTTTGATGCACTCATTAAAAGGAAGCGGATCTAGATTTAGATCTTTAGAAATATATTTAGCATCAAAGTGACTACGGTCGTAAACGGAAAAACCCGAAAAACTAGATGCTAAATTTAGCCCTCGGCTCTCGTTCGCGAAGCTCAGCGAAGTGGCGGGCGAAGTGGCGGGTTGGGAACAGTACGCAGACTCGCGTCGACAAAAAAAAGGCCGGAAAAATAATTTATTAGATCCATTAAAAAGAAATTCGATTAACGAACGGTTTTCAAGGTTTACCTATAAAATTCAAGGTTTTTGCAGAGTTTCTTCTAGGCATCTCTTCGGGGGGAAGCCCCCCCCCCGAAATTTTTTTACCGCCCCCCCGAACGAAATGAAATTTATATAATTTATATAGAAAATATATACTTTTAACAGTGTCCGCCCCCCCCGAAGAAAGTTTACCGCCCCCCCGAAGATTTCAAGTGCCCCCCCCGGAGAAAAAAGTCTAGAAGAAACACTGGGTTTTTGGCCATTTTCGGTGAAATTCAAGGGGTTTTCAATGCCTTGAGATTTTTAGCGCAATTTCCATTCTGGAGAATTGCGTTTATTAACTCGTCATTTCTGGGAATGTATGGATGTGTGTCCGCAGCTTTAAGTCGTATCTCCTCCTCAACGAAGCAATATCGAGGACTAGTTCCAAAAGCAATTATGTAAATTAAGCTACGAGGATGAACATAGGCCATAAAAATTCCGGGTTTCTTTCATGGATTTCCCAGAAAAGCCAAAAAACCTCGAAAAAATGCAGTTTTTGGCCCATATCTCGGCGACCAGACCACTTAGCGACTTGAAACATGTACCAATCGATTCCTGCCATAATTTAGAACAATATTGCCGAAAAAAGTTTTCAAAAATATCCTTTCGTTCGGTCACAAATTTTTTTTTTGAATTAATTAAAATTTGGACCGAATTAGTAGGCATTTTATGCAACCACACCACACGCGTCATCACGTTTAATAGCTGCGCCATCAGGTTCAATGGCTGCGATGTCACGTTCGGTAGCTGGGCGCGCAATGGTTTTTAGTCGTGTTACTCTATTGTAAATAAAACATGTAAAATACTGAAAAAAAAATTAATGAAAACGTTTTAATAACTAACCAATGGTTTTACTAACCCTGCTCTTGATTTACGCTACGACAGAGCTATTTTTACATTTTAGATAACACAAGGAAATTGCGCTAAAATTGTCACTAGACTTTTTTTAATTACTTGTTTTTTTAATTCAAGGGTTTTTCAAGGATTCAAGGTCCGCTACGGACAGACAGACCACACCCTTCGACGCATTCAGTAGCGTACGCAGGGGGGGAGCAGGGGGAGCGACCGCTCCCCCTCTGGCCATTTTCAGCAAAGTGGCGCCTTTTTGGAAACTTTTTAAACTCAAAGTTTTAAACAATGATATTTGTTAAAAAAATATTTTTGGTCGGCACATCTATGTAAATCACAAGATTTCTTTTCATGCAGCAATTAAGCAGTGTTGTACTAGTCTAGTAGTGTCTACGTTTACAACACGGATTAACAGCTGCATCAGTTTGCCACAAAAAAAATTTTGTCATAATACCACTGCTACTTATTTAAATCTATTTCTGTAATATATATTTGTGTAATATATATTTGTGTAATATATATGTATGTTTAGAACAGTCGTCTAAAACTGACGCTATGTTCACTCGGAGTTGGTTATCTCACCCCCCCCCCCCCCCCATACATACACCTCACCACCACAATTGTGTAGAGTGTAGAGCGACATTAATGTCACACCTAGGTATACACTGGGTTGGATAATTGACCTAAAGTGACCGGACAGTGGTGAATGAAGTTGAACTCACACCCCACCCCCAACCCACCCCGAACTGATCTGTTAAGTACATGTAGAAAAACGCGTAATGATGTACCAAAGTGACATGCCGCCAGAAAATTAGCTTTTTAAACGTAAAACTCTGTGAAAATTGTTTTTGCAATTACCAGTAAAAAGGTGTGTGATCAATACAGTGATCTAACCCATACCTATCACTAAGTAATTATTTATTGGTTTTGACATTTATAATTAAATGTGTACATATATACATATTTATATTAAGAGAGTGATTATTTCCCCTATTTCACTTGTCTTAAATAATTTCCCAGGAATTATTATGCAAGAAATTTTTTTTACAAGAATTACAAAACAGATTGTGTTACGTTCATTGTTTTGGTTTTAGTAAGTGTATATATATATTTTCGTTGTTGATTAGATTGATACAATTTTTGTTTTGTCGGCCTACATTGTGTGTTTTTTCTTATTTCTTCAGAGTGCTACTTTCAATTTATTTTACATCATAGCGAAGTAATGACATACATTAGTAATTATATATATATATATATATATATATATATATATATATATATATATATATGTATATATATATATATATATATATATATAATACACGTATATAGAACGCGTTAAAAATTCGGCGCCTTTTTTGCTCTTTTCGCTCCCCCTACAACGAAAACCTGGATACGCCTCTGGACGCATTATAGGCCTAGGACATTTACAGACTATAGGGCCTATATTACGTTTATAAGTAACAAAGAATTATCGAATTCGTGGCATTCCCCACGTATTAAACTTTGTTTAAATTTATATCTAAAATTAGACTATGAGTAGGCAATCTGACTTTATAAACAAGATCCAGATCTAAAACTAAATTTGTCTATATGGTCCAGGGGAGACTACTCCAAAAATGTTAACTAATATGACGTCACTGGAATTGAATAAATAAATAAGCTTCATCTCACCGCTAGCAGAATGTTTTGTTGGAAAAGCAATACGATGATATCGCCGAGTAAAGTAGTGTTACTCGGCTGTGGATCTTACAGTCCTGTAACAAACATGCATCTACGAATGTTTGGTAAGTGTTTAATAATTCTCATGACTATTATTTTTTTATGTTTTTGTGTTTTAGTTGATTGAGCCTGCTGTTGTATTTTTGTGACGTAACTTCACTTGTGTAACCCGACAACCAGGCTGAGTCTGGCACTCTGGAATTCGCGTCGATCTCGAAATCGCGGTCCCATATGATAAACACATACATTTTAGTCGCTCTGTTAAACAAGAAACAAGACTATACTATAAAATCTTATTATTATAATAAGATTTTATAGTATAGTTATATTACTTATATAATATATCACTTCCTTTCACTTCTAGATCTAGCTCAATCTAACTAAACTATAAAATAATAATCATTAAAAAAGTTTAAAAAAACCCACGTTTTCTGATTGAACTAAAGAGTAGAAAATAAATGCTATACATCACAATAATGCAAGCGATCACTCTACTATAAGCGATGAAAAACGTGGGGCGCCGAAGTAAAAGTTATATTACTATTGATTAGATAATACTATTGACTTTTATTAGGGAGCTTGTAGAGAGTCAACAGTATTAGAAACTGTAAGAAAATCACATCGCCCCACGATTTTGATCGCTTATAGTAGAGTGATCGCTTGCATTATTGTGATGTATAGCATTTATTTTCTACTTTTTAGTTCAATCAGAAAACGTGGGTTTTTTTAAACTTTTTTAATGATTATTATTTTCTACTTTTTAGTCTTTGTCTGTTTGTTTGCATTAAAATCTTGCTATCGATTTTATCTTTTCACTTTTTTTTGGGTAAACGAAGACAACTCCTAAAAAGACAACTCGTAAAAAGACAACTCGTAAAAACAACGTTGTGTGAATACGTTACTGACTAGAACACAGACTTCAACCCGTGTCGAGTGGGATAGCAATCGTGTGCCCAACCACTCGACCATATCGTCTCCCCCATACTGGCCACCAGTTGTTACGGTTGTTTGTACACAAATTACAGTTACTGGGTTATGTCCCTTTTTCCTCACGTTTTTACTACAACGAGCCGACCCGCGGCGTATTATACGCCGCTATTTAGTTGATTTATTTTCTACTTTTCAGTAATTCATAATTTGTGAATTCGACAGTACCAATGCTGCCACTGAAAATATTTGCTTTAAAACACTAACCCCCCCTCCTTTCCCCTAACCCCGACCCTACACCCCCCCCCCGTGAAAGCAGCCTCCTCTTAGTTACCTCCTGTAAGTTTAAAGTCAGTTCAAACTAAATTATCTGCCCCTAATAGCCGTCACTAAACCTGGCTGTACGGTTTGTAAACATTAACGTGACCACAGCTCAGCAGACCATGTAGGAGTGGGGTAGGGTTTTAGTGATAGTGATAGAGAGAAAGAGAGGGGACTGTAAGGAGGCGCTTGCAGCTTGTTTTCTAATGGCTCGCAGAGGAGAATTATATATATAGATTATATAGCGGTCTAAAATGCTCAATAAAATGTTTCCATGGATCAATTTAGTAATAATAACAATGGAATATTCTAATGTCATCCAAAACAAAGCTTCCCTGAAAATTTCAGCGCGCTAGCTAACTGGGAAGTGCCCGAAATTTCCATCGCAAGATTTGATTGGAGAACCAAACAAACAGACGCGAAAGCAAGTTAAAGAAAACGTGGGAACTAGTCTAGATTTCTTATTATTTTTCTATCTCTTCTACTAATCTATCAGATTGAAACTGAAACCAAGTTTTAACTAGATTCTCTAGAGATCTAGATCTAGAATCTAGATCTAGATCTAGAATCTAGTCTAGATCTAACTCATCTAAGTCTAGATTGCCTATAGTATTAATAATAATAATTATTATTAGTTTAGTATTAGATCCAGATCTAAGACTAAGCCTAAGCATTCAAAATTCTCGAGTCTAGTCCAAAGCTACAATAACAATATAATAATAAGATTTATAGGCCTATTAAATATAGGCCTAATAATAAATCATTAAGAACAACATAATCACAATCTTCTAGAATGTAGCTTCTAATCTAAATCTATAGTATTATAGACTATAAACTAGTATAGTGTATAGAGAGACCTATTCATATAATATAATAATGGATAATATTCAATCAGAGGCGTAGCGATGGGGGGGCAGGGGGGGGGGGACAAATGTCCCCGGGCGCCGACCTTAGGGGGCGCCAAAATTTGTTGTAAAAACAAATTAAAATTTCATTTTAGCTGTTTGCAGTTTGAGGGGGGGGGGGGTGCAAATTGAAAGTTTGAGGGGGAGGGGGGGGGTGCATGCAAATTAAAAATTTGCTACAGAGGGGGCGCCAAATTGAAAGTTTGTTCCCGGGCGCCGGGAAGGGTTGCTACGCCTCTGTATTCAATTATATATTCTAATTCTATAGTAATCTATTCCATGGCCTAGCTACTAGACCTAGTGATTCTATATTAAATTTTTCAGGAGAATGTTTACACCCGTGTCCGATAATGGAATCCTCTTTAAAAAAGGGGTGTTATGTTACTGGTAGTTAACTAAATACACACATGGCTGGCTAATGTCAATGCTAACCCTGTCCCTAACCCCAACCCCTGTCCTACCATATGCCTAACCCTAATTTCTAACCATAAAATTAGTCGAGATTACAAAACTACTAACAACCCAACACCCCTTTTTTTAAAGAAGCTTCCATTATCAGACGCCGGTATCTATAATCATCCAATATTTCTAAATTAAATATTTCTATTCTCTAGGCCTAGTGTTTATATATTATAAGTATTTTATTTTTATTAAATGTTAGACCCAATGGCCTAATTGCTTCTTGTTGCAATCGTGTCCTCTTATGCTGTTTATAAATTATCTTTTCCGCAGAGATAGCAAGAGATGCATTAAACAAAACAGGAAGGTTTCAAGTGACTTCTGGTATTATGTCCCCTGTCAGTGATGGCTACAAGAAAAAGGTGAGTTACTGTCCTTGACAATCTTGCTCAACATGCCCTACTCTAATGATTCACTTAGACTTAGAGCCTTGCTTGGATATTTTAAGCTGATAAACAGTGTTCCTACATAGGGGTTCTTGGTTGAGATTACTCACTCAACACAGTTTATCATTTTAAAGTGTTTAAATTCTTTACTTTGAGATATCAGCTTTCCAATTATTAGTTCTTCTTTAATGTTTAATCTCATAAAATTCTAACCATACTTTTCTTATTATCTTGCTTACATTTTATTTTCCCATGATACAGGACTTGGTGCCAGCCAAACACAGATGTGAAATGCTGAAGGCAGCCTTAAAATCAACAGACTGGATCAAGTGAGTTGATAGCCTACTACCTTTCTGCTTTATTTTTTTCTCTAAGAAGCTACTTCATATATTGAAAACAGGGTTGTTGTTAACTTTAATAGATAGATAACATACCAATGGTTTGTCACCCAATAGGATATGGTTATGATTAAGGTAGGCTGCAGGTTGACCTATTTTTATTTTATTGTCACTGTGGTAGTAAAGATGTCAGCCAAAAAAGTTACTTTGTTACGTCTTTTAAAATAATATATACTTTTAATGGTTATATTGTTCTACAATGAAACATATCAAAATAGAAATATAGGTGCTTAGTGTTTACTGGACCCTTGCCATTAGTAGTTTAACTGTCCAGTACACTGGGTATTTAAAGCAGAAGATAGATAAGAATTACATGTTAAATATATAGTATTAATAGAAGTCAAATATCACATTATACAAAACAAACATGATCAACACAAAATCAAGCAAGATTGAAGAAAAACTGAGAAAAACAATTACTTGTTTGATGGGGTAGTTATGTTGTGGACCATCACCTGATAATAATATTGAAAGACATTCATCACATCTTCATTTGTTTTATTTTTTTAAACATGAAGTTATAGCATGCATGCCTTAGGCATGTTTCACTTAAGGCAGCCACCTCATGTTAGGCCAACATGTATAATTATTTGCTTCTGCCTATTTCCTTCATTGTTCTCCAAAACATTTTACACAGACTGGGTTTTCTCAATGCATCAACTATATTTCTTTTTTTTTAAATGTACTGTCCCATGGTACAGATAATAGCATAGCATAATCCCACTCTCTCTAGCTTTATATGTAATTGTCTACATCATCCTAGGCTGGTAATCAAAATTGACTAGATTATTACCACCATACCCGTTCAGGGTATTTGATATTGCCTCATCTTCTCTTAGCTAGATATTTAATTATCCTAAACTGATCCATCAACACACTCATTCTTGTTGTATGTTTGCTTTCACATGACCTTCAGTGGCTCACTTACTTGCTCTTCCATGTGTCACTTACCTGCTCTGCCATGGGTCACTTACCTGCTCTGCCATGGGTCACTTACCTGCTCTGCCATGGGTCACTTACTTGCTCTGCCATGGGTCACTTACCTGCTCTACCATGGGTCACTTACTTGCTCTTCCATTGGTCACTTACCTGCTCTTCCATGGGTCACTTACCTGCTCTTCCATGGGTCACTTACCTGCTCTTCCATGGGTCACTTACCTGCTCTGCCATGGGTCACTTACCTGCTCTTCCATGGGTCACTTACCTGCTCTTCCATTGATTACTTACCTGCTCTTCCATGGGTCACTTACCTGCTCTTCCATGGGTCACTTACCTGCTCTTCCATGGGTCACTTACCTGCTCTTCCATGGGTCACTTACCTGCTCTTCCATGGGTCACTTACCTGCTGTTCCATGGGCCACTTACCTCTACTTCATTGGATCACTTAGCTGCTCTTCCATGGGTCACTTACCTGCTCTTTCATGGGTCACTTACCTCTACTTCATTAAATCACTCACCTGTCCTCAGTCACCTGTGCTCATTGGGCCCATCACACTTGTGTTCACTGGGTAATCACATGCCTATAGTTTGTTACCGTCTATTGTTCTGACTAACTTGATTCAATGTTGATTCTGTTGGGAGTTGTTGTTTTTGTTTTAATAAAATGGTCAAAACACAATTCCCTTATTGCAGTACAAATAACAGGTGATTAAGTTTTTATTTTGTTTTAAAATGATCCTTCTGTGTGGTCTGGTAAGGAAGTGTAGTAAAACGCTATTAATGTCAGAGAACCAAGAAAAAGTAACCCATCGTTCTTTAGGCATCATTCAGTTAATCTTTGAGGGTTTTGAATGTAGTTAATTTCCTGTCTGGTAGTGGTAGTGCGGAGTGGTGATTCTCATGTGGGGTTGACTAGAGTGGTGCTAGTGATGTGGTGTAGGGTGGATTGGTGCTACTCTTGTGGTGAAGATTAGAGTGGTGCATGTGATGTGGAGTAGAATGAAGTGGTGCTACATATGTGGGTAGAGTGGAGGTGCTACATATGTGGTTAGAGTGGAGTGGTGCTACATATGTGGGTAGAGTGGAGTGGTGCTACATATGTGGGTAGAGTGGAGGTGCTACATATGTGGGTAGAGTGGAGTGGTGCTACATATGTGGGTAGAGTGGAGGTGCTACATATGTGGGTAGAGTGGAGTGGTGCTACATATGTGGGTAGAGTGGAGTGGTGCTACATATGTGGTGTAGAGTGGAGTGGTGCTACATATGTGGGTAGAGTGGAGTGGTGCTACATATGTGGGTAGAGTGGAGTGGTGCTACATATGTGGTGTAGATTGGAGTTGTGCTACATATGTGGGTAGAGTGGAGTGGTGCTACATATGTGGGTAGAGTGGAGTGGTGCTACATATGTGGGTAGAGTGGAGTGGTGCTACATATGTGGGTAGAGTGGAGTGGTGCTACATATGTGGGTAGAGTGGAGTGGTGCTACATATGTGGGTAGAGTGGAGTGGTGCTACATATGTGGGTAGAGTGGAGTGGTGCTACATATGTGGTGTAGATTGGAGTTGTGCTACATATGTGGGTAGAGTGGAGTGGTGCTACATATGTGGGTAGAGTGGAGGTGCTACTCTTGTGGTGTAGAGTGGAGTGGTGCTGCATATGTGGGTAGAGTGGAGTGGTGCTACATATGTGGTGTAGAGTGGAGTGGTGCTACATATGTGGGCAGAGTGGAGTGGTGCTACATATGTGGGTAGAGTGGAGTGGTGCTACTCTTGTGGTGTAGAGTGGAGTGGTGCTACATATGTGGGTAGAGTGGAGTGGTGCTACTCTTGTGGTGTAGAGTGGAGTGGTGCTACATATGTGGGTAGAGTGGAGTGGTGCTACTCTTGTGGTGTAGAGTGGAGTGGTGCTACATATGTGGGTAGAGTGGAGTGGTGCTACATATGTGGGTAGAGTGGAGTGGTGCTACTCTTGTGGTGTAGAGTGGAGTGGTGCTACATATGTGGTGTAGAGTGGAGTGGTGCTACATATGTAGGTAGAGTGGAGTGGTGCTACATATGTTGGTAGAGTGAAGTGGTGCTACATATGTTGGTAGAGTGAAGTTGTGCTACATATGTGGTGTAGAGTGAAGTGGTGCTACATATGTGGGTAGAGTGGAGTGGTGCTACATATGTGGGTAGAGTGGAGTGGTGCTACATATGTGGGTAGAGTGGAGTGGTGCTACATATGTGGTGTAGAGTGGAGTGGTGCTACATATGTGGTGTAGATTGGAGTTGTGCTACATATGTGGGTAGAGTGGAGTGGTGCTACATATGTGGGTAGAGTGGAGTGGTGCTACATATGTGGTGTAGAGTGGAGTGGTGCTACATATGTGGTGTAGAGTGGAGTGGTGCTACATATGTGGGTAGATTGGAGTTGTGCTACATATGTGGGTAGAGTGGAGTGGTGCTACATATGTGGTGTAGATTGGAGTTGTGCTACATATGTGGGTAGAGTGGAGTGGTGCTACATATGTGGGTAGAGTGGAGTGGTGCTACATATGTGGTGTAGAGTGGAGTGGTGCTACATATGTGGTGTAGAGTGGAGTGGTGCTACATATGTGGTGTAGATTGGAGTTGTGCTACATATGTGGGTAGAGTGGAGTGGTGCTACATATGTGGGTAGAGTGGAGTGGTGCTACATATGTGGGTAGAGTGGAGTGGTGCTACATATGTGGTGTAGAGTGGAGTGGTGCTACATATGTGGGTAGAGTGGAGTGGTGCTACATATGTGGGTAGAGTGGAGTTGTGCTACATATGTGGGTAGAGTGGAGTGGTGCTACATATGTGGGTAGAGTGCAGTGGTGCTACATATGTGGGTAGAGTGGAGTGGTGCTACATAAGTGGGTAGAGTGGAGTGGTGCTACATATGTGGGTAGAGTGGAGTGGTGCTACATATGTGGGTAGAGTGGAGTTGTGCTACATATGTGAGTGGAGTGGTGCGCGTATCTTACATAGCTTGTTTCTTCCTCGAGTGTTTTCCCCTTCAATTAAATCGTTAACGGTTGCGTTGTATTTACATCTTGTGATGATAATTGGCCTAATTTGACGGTTCCTGTTTAAACAAACAAACACAAGCACATAGACGAAGTTAATCACGTGACAGACACTCGTCTGGCCAACTGATGGTTACCACAACAACCATACCCCCCTCCCCCACACCGCCAGCCCAATCGATGACCTGACAACCCTCTGACGATTCTTGACCCCACATGTATGGACAAAAAACATGACGTTCTTTGGCTACACCATTGAACACGGGATATAGATTAGCAATTTGTTTATTAGCCAAGGGTGGAGCTTTTTACCATATTTAGGAGGAATTCAAAGGGTCCACATTCTCTTTGCACTTATCTAATCACATGCTTTAAGCTTGCATGACGTTCGGGGTAGATGGACAGATGGGGCCCCTCTATATAAAAAAATCTGTAACTAGTAAACTAGACATAGGTCTTCAAATTAAAAGCGTAACGGATCTGTATGTAAACTAGCATACCTCTCACAGCCAAACACAAAAACTAAGGAGTCAGGTATTCGCAGAAGCTCAGAATCTTTGTTACAATAAAAGTACATACAGTATATAACATGCTTATATTTTTTTAAATCGGTTTTTTATGCATATAAATACGCAGTTTTGTTGGAAATTAGAACAAACCCAGTCAATGTTCATTGTATCTACCATTAAGTATCGAGACCTGCGGATTGTTGAGACCACTCAATATCTCTCTGCCCTGAAGCACATCATGCTGTTTAGACGGCTCTGATTACTGCACTAGCTAGCAAGCTTAGAGTAACATAATAACTTGTGTTATACAGTCCAATAATCTTTTTTTAATCATACATTACTTTACTCATATAAGGGTGGATGTCGAGACTTTTGTGCTACTCGGAAACGTGAGAAATATAGCAAAATTTTATATTTTAAGAATTCAAATCAATTTAGTTTTTACTCTTTGA